ATCACCACAATCATTATCTCCATCATTCCCGTAATCACCACCACCACCACCATCATTATCACCATCATCACCATCACTCTAATCACCAGCACGCCTGTAAAATGGCACAAACAAGTGGCAAGGGAGAATTCAATGGAGGGTGTGGTTCGCCTGTATCGGGAGAGGGGGTGATGTGCAATTAGAAACACCTGCAGCAAACGAGATGTCAATCACCATCAGTGTGGCCAGTTTTCTCTCAACATGATGAACAGGATAAAGGGGTCATCCTGCGGCCTATTGTGAGCGCAGCGTTGTCCCAGAGATACGTTCCGGTGTGAAAGGCGTCAGGGTGGCTGGTCCAAAACTGAAAGACGACCCAACCCTCTCGGATCGCCTCAGGTGCACGGTATCGATTGCTCTCTCGCTAGACTCCACCCTCAATGTACACGGGCGTCACTTGGCTGACCACAACTATAATAGTGACAAAAGTGAGTCTGGAAAAGTAGGCAGGAACCAGAGCGCCACAGCACCACCACCATCATTACCACCATCACCACCACCTCCATCAATGGCGGAGCGCGAGAGGCCCGGCCTCCGGTGCAAGCTATGAAATGGATTTTGTTCCCCTCCGCCAAATCTCCCACCACGCTCTGCCGTGGCCCGGCGTCCCGCCCGCCCGCCCGCGAGGCCACCGCGCCAGACGCATCTCGCACGGGGCTGCCTGGCACGGCTAAGCTCCTGGGATCGGGGCATTGTCCACGCGCAGTTCAATGAGTGCTGGTGAAAGCGGCGGCGATTAGCATGCGTGCTCCGTTCCGCTGGGCCAATGAGCTCTGAAGCTGTTCAGCCATGATTCCGCGTAACATTGAATCTGCTCGCGGCCAAAACACAAACTCTTTGTCAATGTTTTTTTTAAATATACGTATATAAAAAAAAACCCGTCACAGCAAGGTCTTTAGATGCGGGTACCATTGAGACGAATTTCTGCTTTGTCTGGGCCACTGTCACAAAACCCGTCTCTGAAACGTACAGAATTATTCCCTTTGCGGCTCACATGAATTCGTGCACGAGGCAGGCGGAGGGCCGTGGTGCCAGGCCAGCAGTGGCACGAGCTGCCGTTCCCCGCGGTGGCGCTCGGATGGTCGCCCTCCGACCGCGGGCAATCATCTCGGCGATGTCCACCAAAACATCCCCAAATGTAGCCCGGTAGTTGCAGTCCAGGATTATTGAAAATTCCGACAGCACACCCCACGTGGTGAGAACGCCACCACCACCACCTGCGAGTTCCACTCCAGAGCTGCGCACCGTCCGGACTTGTTGCCGCTCCTCCATCATCGTCGTCGTCGTCAACTTTCATCGCTGGGTCACGATCCTGGAGCTCCCTGGCACGCGGCGGTGTGGGGTCAGCGGCGGTGTGGGGTCAGCGCCGTCACCAGCAGTGCGGGGAGAGGGCCCGGCACCACCGGCGCTGTCTCGGCGCAGCTGATCAGCGACGCCCACGGCCCGACGAGTCTCAAGTTCACATCGTCCCACTGGGAGTCTAAAGTGGACATCGAATTGACGCAGACCGCGTGGCGAGGTGCAAGCCGGGAGTTCCCCCGAGAGGCAGCGCGACGGACACACAGACGACAGAGCAGACCGCGAGGCAGAGACACCGGATCGGCTCTTCATTTTATTGTTACTCCGCTGCTTTACCACGGAAAGCCTCAAGGAGTGTCACGTAGATTTTTAAAATGATTTCTATTTATCATCCAAATTGGAGTAATTTTTCTAATTTGGCAAACTTTGACGGTAACGCCGACACTCAATGCCGCACTGTTGCAAATGATATCACGGGATCTTTAACGTCCACTGAAGATGACGGCGCGTCCTATTACTTAAGATGAATACGCACCGCAGTGTTAACCGGGGCGGCCGCTGGATTCAAACCGCGACCCTTTGCAACAAGTGGCGAGTGCTCCACACAACATGCTCCACACAACATGCTCCACACTACATGCTCCACACATGTTCCACACAACATGTTCCCACGTGCTGCATGAGGGTCAATATTCATTGCACTACCGTCGAATCAATCCATATGTTGGTAGTTCTCAGAGCTGCATGGAAGTCATCCAAATTAAGTGCAGAAGCAAATGTCACGCTTTGGTTTATCTTCTGCTCCTTCAGTGACTGGTGACCTGGCTGAGACCATGAACTCACTCCACGCGACAAATTAATTCAATGACGGGCGCGCTTGAGCCCCAGATTCAGTGCAGTCGAGGTCCTTCGCGATCCGCGATGGACGAGGCCGATGGGGGTCACGACTTCGGTTCGACAACAGTCACCTCTAGTGGCTGCGGGGCTGTCGCGTGAACGAGACCCTGTCCCTGCGTGCACCTCGAGCGGGAGAATCATCGACGCGAATCGATGAATCTGCGCCTCGTGGCACGCAGAGGCGCTGCAGTGCCAAGCCGCGTGGCTCGCAGGCTGTGCCACTTTGAATTGCGACAGGGTAACGATGCCCCCCCTCCATCTCCCCCCACCTCTCCACCCCCCCTACCGCGCCCCCCCCCCCACTGCCATTCAACGCAAGCGCCGTTCACACGAAGCCGCACGAGACCACATTGGAAGCTCGCGTGACCTCTGGCTGGGCCGTGACCCCGATTCTGCGGAGCGCTCCGTGTGGTCTTAAACTTGCGGCTCACAAAGGCACGCGGCGGAGCGGCAGCGGGAGATGAAGGGCGACGTGGCCACCGGCGATAATTGTGCGAAGGCACCGAGTAACGAACACTCGTCAACAAAAAGTGTTTGTTTTGGTGGAGTCGACGGTGGCTATGAGTGGTCGAAAATCATCGAGCGTGGTTCCACGGTGGCTACGGCCGCTGCCTACCAGACCATCACCACCATCATCACCACCACCATCATCAGCACCATCACCACCACCATCATCTCCATCATTAACACCACCATTATCACCACCATCACCACCATCACCACCACCATCATCATCACCATCACCACCACCATCATCTCCATCATCAACACCACCATTATCACCACCATCACCATCACCACCATCATCACCACCATCACCATCACCACCACCATCATCTCCATCATCATCTCCATCATCATCACCACCATCATCTCCACCACCATCACCACCATCATCATCTCCATCATCACCACCATAATCATCACCACCACCATCACCACCACCACCATCACCACCACTATCACCAACTTCATCATCAGCACCACCATCAATCACCACGACCACCGCTAGACGACGAATGCCGGCCAAAGCGCGAGTGACCGTGCCGAGACGGAGTTGCCAGAGTCCGAGTGAAGATGCCGACTGAGATGCTCTCGTCGCATCGTTACAGACTGCGGTGAGCCGAGGAAGACCGAGCGTGCCAATGGGCGATGTATATTTACATCAACACCACACTTAGCGAGTTCACCGATTGGCTCACCTGATAATACTGGGAGACGATTCGGGCAGTGGAAAATTGATTGAACTTTTGTACGTTCTGCACAGTTGTCATTATCACGGCAGTGGCATTCACCCAAAGAAATATGTAGCTAACGTTGGGGGAAATTTTAAGGGAGCGTTATTGACATAGAATGCGTTGAGGTTTATTGGCATTAACTGTGCTTGTGCACCACTGCCAACGCAGTAACAGCAGCAGCATCAAATATAAATTGGCATTGGGAATTCCATAACCAGGAGGGAGCGACCGTCCGTGACAGCAGCAGTCGCCTTCATGCAGCAGCCACGCGGCGAGCGGACTTCCAGCGACGCACAACTCGGCGAGACCTCCACAGGGCAGGCCCTCTTTGCCGACGAGACCGGACTCGGGCCCAGACAGCAACTCTGCCGCCGCCGTGTGCATTGCGAGCTCCGGTGGCGACGGGGGTGCCAAAGGCACGGCGCGACATGTTGGGGGGGGGGGGGGGTGGGGTTGGGGGCGCCCGCGCGCACAGAGCACGCGTGCTGTGTGGTCCCGTGAAACGCGCCCCCGTCCCCTCGCAATCTCACGGCTCGTGAGAAAGTGCCGGGGCCACCAGACAACCGCACATTTTGCACGGCCGCCCCCTTGTCAAGGGATTTAATCTAGCGGAACGGAATACGTCACGGCCACAATCGCGACTATGTATTGGCTAATTTGTCAAATGACGTGAAATGGGAAGAGGTTTGTGCCCGCACAAAGGTGCGGACCCTGGCTTGTCCTCGGGGGGACAGCCATTACCACCGTGAGAAAGCGCGTGGCACGCCGAGGTCCAGAAGGGTTCGGCTGGGGGAGGAGCCGGGCTGCGCAGGGCGCGGCGCCGAGGGTTGAGCCCGGGGGTCGGTGGGGTCTTGTGGTTTTTCTCTCCATGAGGAGGAGGAGGAGAGAGATCGGGGTGAGGGATGGGAGGTGGCCGCTCATTCCTGGAGCGAGTCGCCCAGGAGCCCAGCAACGGCGGCGCCTGCCGGGGAGCCGCTGGGTGTCGAGCGAGCGAGCGAGCGAGCGCCGCGTGAGCCACCACAGGGCCCTCCAGCCAACCTCACCCGCGACCAAGGCTCTCCCGCGTGGTCACACCTCGCAGGCCAAGCCGGGGCGGGCCTGGACAGCATTTGGAGTCTATTCTGGCGTACGATGGCATTACGTTCAGGAGCTAAACGCCAATGTTGAGGTCCGCTGGCCACGAGAGGGCTTCTCTGTGGTCGGCAGTTTCGTGCTTGGATGGGCGACCACCATTCACAAACCGGTGGCTTTGTCAGCTGTGTGGGTGGTAGAGGGCAGTGCAGAAACACACATTGTTGTACCGTCCTGCTATGATCCCCACATTCACAAACCCGTACTGACCAGCGTGGAGAAAGAGTCACGACCTACACGGCTGCAGGGAGGCCCTCATCCAATCCGGCTGTTCAGCTCAACGATTGGCTGAACATGACTTGAACTCGCAACCTTTCAATTGTTAGGTCAAGCACGATAACCGCAAGGCGCGCACACCGCGCACTCTCTCGCGAGTAACCACGCAGTCACTACAAGTAACAATCGTCTCATTGAACTTCATTGAATGTTTACAAAATAGTACAAAAATATTTTACCACTTTTTAGTTTTTTTACAAAACGGAGGCACAAACCTTTGACGCTCACCGCTCAAGTGCAAACAGCTGCGTCGACTCTGAGCAGCGCAGAGCGCACGCGGCACGCACGGCATATACACACGCACGGAACATACACATGCATGCAGGTGCGGTCTCATCTCCCATCACAAATGCAGAGAAGTCGCCTCCGGTCGCGAGCGTGGCAAGCGCGATCCGTCCATCGCGTCACCACGCACTGCACCGCTGCCCATCACGCGCTCACACGGGGGGCACCGTCGCCACAGATCAACCGGCTGCCGATGCCACCGGATGGATTACCAAGCTCAGCACACAGTTACGACATTTGGGCAAATGCCGTACGAGAGAGAAAGCCGTACGCATGGATAGCTGATGCGGTCGAACATCACGGGCGCTGGGGAAAGAGTCTGTTCGTCGGACGGCTTCTCATGACGGGACGATTGCCAGCGTGACGACGGTGTGCCAAGTTGATATCTTCTTGTTTGTCGCGAGCGATGAGTTCGGGCACAGACCCAAGTCTCCAACGGAAGAACAAGCGAGGACGTCACACCTTACAAATGCTATACATGAACGAACGAACGAGCGGTGAAGAATTTGACCGTATGAGGGTGAGGATTTGTAAACGCGGTAAGGGATGAAAATGAAAACTCTGGTAACAGACGAAACGGACGACTTGGGATGTCCGATGAGAGACGCATGCGGATAACAATGGAATGGAGGCCAGTGGAGAGAGTACGGAGGACGAGAGGTGGATAGAGACGGCGGAGACGAGGCGAGAACGTCCCGCACGATGGAGCGGGCCGGAGCGGGGAGGAGAGGCCGGAGCGGGGCGCCAGGGAGGGGCACCACGTGGGGCACCACGTGGGGCACCACGTGGGGGGCCACGCGGCGTCAGGCGACGCGGCGAGTCACGAACAGCTGCACGCTGCTGGGGAGAGACTTGAGGAGAGCCACCGCCTCGGCCTGAGTAAACCCCTGCAGGGGGATGCCATTGGCCTGCGCGTTCACACACACGGACAAATATCCCCCGTGTAGCCTTAACTGACTGCTGGGGCGAGCGCTGTGAGCAAGTAGCACTTATTCAGGGCAACAGTGCGAGAGGGGGTGGTGCGGCCAGCGCCTTGCCTGACCGCCTTTGTCTCCCCAGTGCTGATGTATTATACACTGCACCAGGTACTCCCTTAAGGGCAGTCGACCTAACGGAGGCCCAGCACCGGTTCAGATATTCGTCACTGTTATTGGTCGAGAGCGGATACCCAACTTGGGTTCGTCACGCAGTACACTAACAACTGCACTACCGCGTTCACACAACAACAACTGTCATTCACCACTAAGTGGCGGTGACGTCACCACGGTGCTTGTGCCAAGCTATGTGCACGGTAAGGCCACGTGAAGTGTTGAATGCCCGATGGCAGGAGGTCACAAGGCAGACCCAGGTGCCATGGGTCGACTGACTGAGATGACTGGCCAATGCACCACCTGTGCCTCCTACCGTGCCAACTTGCTGTGTTTTAGCCGCAACGGTGCTCCGCTCGTTGTTGTGAGCGTAGCTCCTCCGCCCTCCGTTGTTGCTGGAGGGCGACTGCCTCCAACTGCCGAGTAGCGTCCTACACGAGCCTCCTCCACAGAGGCCGATCTTGACACCGCTGGTACCAATCATTCGCAAGTCCACTCAGCTCTACAGCCTCTTGTAGCACATCACTCCATCTCTTCTCTAGCCCGTGCCGCACCCGTTTAGCCCCCTCTATCCGACCGAACAAAAGCTGTCTAGGCATGCGGTGGCTGGGCATGCGGGCTACATGGCCCAGCCAATGCAGCCTTGCCTGCCGGAGGAGCTCACCGATGGGACTTTGCCCAGATCTTTGAAGGATTTGTGAGCTCCTCACACAATCCAACCTAGTTAAACCCAAGATGGATCGTAGGCAGGCCAGCCTAAATGTTTCTAACTGTCGATGATGTTCCACGCACACGCGTGCATACACGCATACCCAAGCGCACATAAGCACACCCACGCGCGCATACACGCACACCCACACGTGCGCATACACGCACACCCACACGCGCGCATACAAGCATGAATAAGCACGCACACACAAGCACGCACGCGCATACACGCACAAGCGCACGCATTCACACGCGCTTGTACAAGCAGGGCAGCTGCGCGGGTTTTATCGGCTGCCCTGTGCGACTCTCCGGTTCGCCATCGGCTCGTGCCGCTGTGCCGTTGGGCCCGACGTCGGACATTTTGCTCAACGTGCCGGAAGCATCTTGAATCATGAAACACCCCCCCCCCCCCCCCGCCGCTCTCTCGATCTCCTGGCCCACGGGTGGCAAGTTGATATAGCCAATCATCAGTTGGTGGGTTGTCACGTGGCTCCGCACACCGATGCATGACTCCAAGGATAGCCTCAACGTGGAATCTGGAAGGAATCTTTAGAAGCTGGGAGCTGCCCTATTAAACACGCGTTTATTCACTTGTTTATCTCCCCCACGCTGCTGGGCAGGGACAGGCGAACGCCAGCGCACCTGGCCCGAGTAACTGTGAGCGGACGACTATACCTGAAGGATTTCATCTCCAGGCTTCAGCACCTCCTCCGCTGGCCCGCCAGGCTGCACTCTGTGCACCAAGATACCCTGGGTGGGACGAGAAGGGGCGCCGAGGGGCGGGAGAGGATGGGCGAGTTGAGCGGTGGCGAGGTGACGGGTGCCGATAAGGCTGGTGTAATACAGGAGGGCGTGGGTTCGGTCTCGACCCCGACGCCTGCTGTATATTTGTAGTTTGCGTGTGTCTCTCTCCCCGTTTTTTCTCTGGGTTTTCCCCTCTACACGTGCTATACATTTTCATGTGATAAGCAACTATGTTGAGCTATCATTTGTGGCCAGTCCGCTTCTGAAAAAGGGCTATATAGCTCAGTGGGCCTTACCTGGTAAATAGTTTAGTTTAAGCAACAGCAGCTAAGATGCAATGAGACATGCAAAACAACGTCAACGTGGATCTGCTCAGCGTTTAACTGTGGCCGTGACCTTGCGCCGCTGCACAGGGAACAGCGGGCATGTCGTTTTGCGGAGAGCCAAGTTGAGTTTGTTAAAGCAGGCGAGAACTCTAGCGAACGTGACCTGGCGAGAGAGACAGTCGGCCGTAAGCGGAGGAAGAAGCCGAGTGTTGAGCCTGGATGTGAATGGGACCAGCGAGTCGATAGCCCAGACGGCTGGGGGAAGGCAGTTCCATGTGGGCAGCAGATGATGGATTCTAATAATCCAGAGTTAACTACGAGCTCGAAATGGTCACACTGTTCAGAATTCAACACCGGCAATCCTCACATTGACTTTGGGGATTGCTCAAGTTTACGGTTTAGTTGCGACACACAGCTGCATGCGTGCAGGCGTCTGAACATGTCAAGGCTATAACCGATAAATGGTCAAGACAACATTGAAAGTGTGTGCATTTGATACTAAAAATATTTGATAAAATACAAAGCTACAAGAAAACCGAAGGGTGGCGTCGGTCCACCAGCGGCCACCGGTTCAATGTTTTTCAGTTGCGGCCTTGCTGCTTTCAGGACAGGCTCCCGAGCATGTGGAGCGAAACGTCGGACATCACGGCGAGCAACGCGCTGAACCCGGAAACGCCGGGGAGACGAGCGTGGGTCACGTGTGTGCGTCTGGCGGTGCGTGCGTCACCGTTTGTGAGCGAGGTTGGGTCCCCGCGTCCCCCACGATGCTGAATCCCAGGCCGGGCCGCTTCACCAGGACCACACACAGCTGAGGACAAACACGGACGTTATAACGACGACGACAACTATCGTAATAACGCAGAGTTGTAACGTGGGGCCGCACAGTATTGGCTAACTCTGCAAGAAGAGAGAACGATTCGGAGGTGCGAGGAGAAATCACAGACAAGCAGGGAGGCAGCAGCAGCCACGCAGAGAGAGGGACACACACACACAGGGACACGCACAGAGAGAGAGGGACACGCACAGGCACACACACAGAGACTCGCCACACCTCCTGCGCGTGGCCGGTCTCCCCCAGCTCCAGTGCTGCGTGTGACTGGGGCTGCGATAGTGGCGGCGGGGCCGGCGCGGGCGGCTGTGTGATGCGCTGCAGGATGAAGTCGATCAGCTGTTCGCGGGACGGCTGCCGCGGCACGGCCCTCGCTGCCTCCCGGCCCGGTGGCTGCGGCTGTTGCTGCGGCTGCTGTTGCTGCGGCTGCTGTTGGGATTGGTGTGTTCGTTGTAATGAAGAGGGGAGGATACGGAAAGTTGAGGTCACTTACTGCGACGGCAGCGATTCCCAAATGCTGAATAAAGTGCGTCCTGTACATCACCACGTAGGGGTCCTTTAGGGGTGAGACTGAGTTAAAGGTGCAGCCCTGCAATTGGTTGCTGACGCCACTGCTGGCAGAAGGGTCTCTACTAGAGGCGGTTCTAGGTGCGAGTACCTACATTTGACCCCACCACACGGAGACCTGCTGACTGACTGTGGGGTAAATCCATTCATACTGCTGGAGTGGACAGACGTGGCGGGGGAGTGGGGTGGCCAACATAATAAATGTGCACCGTCGTTTCAACTGCCGTGCCCGGATGCCCAAAGCCCTCTCCTCATTGCCAGCAGACCTCTACATTGGCACCGAGCTCCTGAAGCACATCGCTGCTGCTGCTGCTGCCGCCGCCGTGCGCTACAACAGAGGAGACCTCAGCTTTCCCATCGCCCGCGCGTCGCGTGACAACGGCAGGTGCCGCCGCGTCATGTGACAGACTCACTGCGTGCGGAGGGCACTGGCGAGCGTCCGGCCTATGCCAGTCGTGGCGAGGCCAGGGCGGCGAAATCTGCGCGGAAGTCGGCGGGGATCAGGGGAAGTGGAGGAACGACGACGAAGGAGGAGGGGGGGGGGGAATGAGGGCACACAGGTGACGGCAAAACAAACGATCAAGCAACGTGCGCATGCCGTGTTAGTAGTTGCGTGTGCCACCACCGTCACTGCCCCGACCACCACGAGCACGCGGGAGAAGAACCGCAGCACCGCATGCCTGTGTACGAAACAACGCGCGTGCGACGTCGTGCACCCACGGTGGGCGTCCGTGCGAGCGTTCGTAGCATTAACAAGCGAGGATCCAATCTTTGGTAAGTTTGGTGTTGGCGCGATCGTTACTACGACGAAAGGCGAACATCATGAAGGGAGGCGCTGCTGTGTTTCACAGACGCAGGCTGGGGGGGGGGGGTGATGATTGCCGTGTGCGGTCGCAACTGAATAATTTGCTACGCTCTCTGTCTGTCCAGGAAAGCCTCACGAGGCTCTTTCAGGAGGGCCCTGACATTCGGCCATTTCCCCGAACGTGCGTTTAGCACGTGGCAGGGAACGGAAGTAACCCAGGGAAAACCCTCCATGCATACGCGGAAAGAACGCCCAGAGCCCAGAGCTCAGTACAGACAGGTTCAACCCACAGACAGACCTCACAGTTACATATCTTGGCTTCCACGTCCAATATTATAGTGTGGGTTTAATGTCAGTTAGAGCTGCAGCCCTCCAGCACCCGACACAGCCAGACAAATCAAGTTGTCGTGTGGGCAAAGGAGCCCAATCGATTTTGCTTGTCAACAAAACTGGTCGGTTTGCTGGAGGTTCAACGAATCCATCTGCGAGGTGAACCCACCGCTGTGCTGACAAAATGCTGGCAACAGCCCGACGTCTACGAGGGCCAGGAAGCCCTCGATGGTTGCCCACCCGCACACCGACCAGGCTCAAGGCTGCCGACCTTCTGAGATCCGACAAGGTCGGGGGCACATCACCCGGTAGCGTGGCAGCGAATCTCTTCTACAGAAACCAGAACCGGACTTGTACGGAACGCCCACCCCATAATGGTTTGTGCCATACCATACAACGTGCGTGGTAAGTTAAGAAGATATTTGTTGTTATAGTTTCAAACTTCACACGGTTACGGGGGGGGGGGGGGGAAGTAGGCAGGGACGCTCGGCAGCTCCAAGATGATTAATGAGTAACGAGCGAAAGGTTTGAGTGCGCAGAGAAGCGAGAGAGGTGGTGGCATGCGTCAGTTCACGTTGGCGGGCTGGCTCTCGCTCTCCGCGGGGTTAGCGAGCTGCCCGCCACACCCAGGCGCAGGCGCAAGAGAGGGAAGAGGGGCCGGGGAGGGGGGCACAGAGTCGGGGGGCTGCGGAACGACAACGGCAAAAACACAGTGAGGATATAATCACCATTGGCATCGTCATCGCGAGATGTGCCACATTAGCTCTACACACGCCGCTGCTGCGTGGCTCTCTCTCTGGCTCTCTCTCTCCGTCTCTCTCTCGCTCTCTCTCTCGCTCTCTCTGGCTCTCTCTTTGGCTCTCTCTCTGTCTGTCACTCTGTCTCTCTCTGGCTCTCTCTCTGGCTCTCTCTGGCTCTCTCTCTCTCTGGCTCTCTCTCTCCGTCTCTCTCTCGCTCTCTCTGGCTCTCTCTTTGGCTCTCTCTCTGTCTGTCACTCTGTCTCTCTCTGGCTCTCTCTCTGGCTCTCTCTGGCTCTCTCTCTCTCTGGCTCTCTCTCTCCGTCTCTCTCTCGCTCTCTCTGGCTCTCTCTTTGGCTCTCTCTCTGTCTGTCACTCTGTCTCTCTCTGGCTCTCTCTCTGGCTCTCTCTCGCTCTCTCTCTCCGTCTCTCTCTCGCTCTCTCTCTCGCTCTCTCTGGCTCTCTCTTTGGCTCTCTCTCTGTCTGTCACTCTGTCTCTCTCTGGCTCTCTCTCTCCGTCTCTCTCTCGCTCTCTCTCTGGCTCTCTCTCTGGCTCTCTCCAGGGTGTTCTCGGGTCGTGCTGCGTGCGGTTCGGCACGACGTCTGACGTTTCGCGCTGGCTGCTTCTTCAGGAGCTGAATTTGAAGCTCCCGGAGCTCGGAGGGAAACGTCGGATTTAACGCTTTGAGTGGTAGATTTGTGCCACAAAGCTACCACGCGTATGTATGCACAAATAAAATTTACTTGACTTGACAGTCTACCCATAGCACTACCACAGCTGACTCGCCACAAAGTGGTACTCATTTTAAGCACGACAAAGATGAAAGTCGAACTTGAGACTTTCCTATTTTCAAATCGCACGCTCTAACCACTGTGCAACACCTACTCGCTGCTATCACCACCATCATCATCATCATCGCCAATAAACTCAGCACTGCAAGAACGACCGAGGACCGGGTTTCAATCGCGCAATCGGTACTCGTGACCAACTGGGTGACGATGGCGCCATGACTGTCGTACCTGCTCCGCCACAGGCTCAGGCCTCATCTCTTCGCGGCGGTGGAGGTGCGGGCTCGCGCACGGCGCGGTCGGCGGGCCGTAGGGCCGGTGGGACGGGCAAGCGGGGGGGGCGGCGGCGGCCGGGGCGGCGCGCCAAGGGGCCGACGGCTGCGTGGGCGGCCGAGGGACGGCGTAGTTGGCCCGTGCGCCGTCCGGGCTGCGGCGGCCGTGGCAAGCGCCCGCGATCACCGTGTCGCAGTAGTTGGCACGCGACGCGGCGAGCTGCATGCGCTCGGCGGTGTGCAGCGGCAGGTGCGCCGCGGCCGCCGGTGGCACGCCGACGCCGGGACAGGGGTCGCCACGGGAGGCGCGCACCTGGCCCACCGCGCCCGCGCGGCGCGGAACGCGCGGGGGGTGGTGGACGACGTGTTGGCGGTCGCGTCGATCGTAGCGATCGTGGTGGTGGTGCTCACGGCCATCGTGCCAGTGCGCTTCCTGCGAGCCGTACTGCGGTGCGATCTGCGCGTGCGCTGCCGCTGCTCCTGCCGTGTCCACATGCAATGCGTGCCGCGTTGCAAGGCCGCAGTCTGTGCGAGCCGGACAAGCGGCATCGGCTTCGTGTAGGCGGCGGTCGGCGTGCCACGTGGGCGGACCCGGCTGTGCGAGCGGGGGCACGCGGTTCTGGTGGTGCTCCTGGTGGTGGTCCTGGTGACGTTCCTGGTGGTGGTCGTGGTGGTGGTCCTGAGGATATTCCCGGTGCTCGCAGCACAGGCGGTGCGGCTGGCCGTGCGCTGCACCGCGCGGTGCCACCGAGCTGGCTTGCTGCGCATTCCTCCTCTTGGGGGGCAGCGGTGGCGGCGTCGTCGTCGCGTCCCTCCGCATCGCGCTCTCCCAGCGACCCGGGGCGAACGCCGTCCCAGGGCGTCGTGCCGACGTCGCGTCGGGCTCCGGGACGGACGCCGCGGCGCCGCGCTCCGCTGGAGAGGCCGCCCCATGGCCGGCCACGGGAGTCGCAATCTCGGCGGCGCGCTCCGCGGGAGCCGGCACGCGGCGCAACGGGGGGGACGGTGTGCCGCGATGGGACGGCGTCGAGGGGCCACGCGGCGAGGACGGCCACTCCTCGCGTGCCGTCACCGATTCTCGCGTGGAACTCTCCTGGCTCGGGCCGGGCAAGGTTACCCCCGAGTCCGCGTGCGTCGGCGTTCTCCCGTCCCCTGCACCTTGCCCTACGATGTTCTCTTGGCGTTCGTCTTCTTGTTCTTTATCCGTGTCTCCTCGCCGTCCATCCACGTTCCGCTTGATGACCCTCACCTGCCAGGGCTCCACGCGTACGGCACGCGGGGGCTCCGAGTGGACCACCACCACCAACGCCGCCACGGCCGCCCCCCCCGCCTGCAGCACCACGGCCTTGGCGGCACCGCGCATCACGCCAGCACGAGCGGCGCCCTCCGGCTCAGGTGGACGATCCGGGGAAGTCGCCTCTGCGACCTCGTTGTTGTCAACGTCGTTGTCAACGTCGTTGTCAACGTCGTTGTTAACGTCGTTGTCAACGTCGTTGTCAACGTCGTTGTCAACGTCGTTGTCAACGTCGTTGTCAACGTCGTTGTCAACGTCGTTGTCAACGTCGTTGTCAACGTCGTTGTCAACGTCGTTGTCAACGTCGTTGTCAACGTCGTTGTCAACGTCGTTGTCAACGTCGTTGTCGCCACCACCGCCGGACGGTTCTTGTGACGAACACTCCCGTAAAATCTCTTCACCAAGGATGTTCACCGAGTCATCTTCCGCTTTGACAACGCTCGGAGGACTGTCATCCCGGACGCCACTCGGAGGACTGTCGGAATGGGTAGTACTTGGAGGACTGTCGTCATGGTTACCACTCAGAGAACTGTCATCATGGACGGCACTCGCAGGACTGTCGTCACGGATACTACTCGGAGGCCTGTTGTCAAGGATACCACTCGGAGAACTGTCATCATGGACGGCACTCGGAGGACTGTTGTCACGGATACAATTCGGAGGACTGTCGTCACGGATACCACTCGGACTGTTGTCAGCAAAAACAGGTTGAGGGCTGTGAGCCATGGGACGGCTGGGCGGACCGCTCTGGCTGAAGACGAGCGGGGAACCGGTCGCGTTGAGGACGCACGGAGACTCATCGACCGTGGCCCCGCTGGTCCGGTCGCCCGTCTCCGGGACACGGGAGGAGCCGTCCGCCGCGAGCCCGCCCGGGCCCAGCATCGCATCGGCACCGCCGCTATTGTTGTCGCCATCCTCCTCCTCCTCCACCAGCAGACAGTCGTAGCCCAGCAGCCAGGGCAGCGTGGTGGTGCTGGCGTCGGCGTGGCCGGCGTCAGATTGGCCGCCAAAGCTCGGATCCTCAACCCCGCTCTCCACTGCGGCACACGGGAAGGGAGGCAGAGCGCATGGCGCCAGTTATCGGGAGCACCTGTGCGTCGAACGGTGCAATGACGCATCGCTTTAAAGCGATGAAGCCTCATCCTTAGAATTTTTACCAATGCTCTTTTGGAAAACGTCGTTTCACTGCTGCGCTCCCGAGATCTGACGAGATCGGAAGTGGCTACGTCCTCCCCAAACGCAAGCCCACAGAGACATGGGGCTCCACCGTAGTTGCTGGACAAGAGGATGCACTCCTCCCCCCCCAACCCTGTGTTTTTAATGCAACATTTGAGGGTGCGTCGTATAATCCGGTAGCTGTGCGCGTGCGTGAACAGATGTGTAACTTTGTAGACGCTGGGCACGGGTTTGGGGTGGGTCCTCGTGCGCGAAGCGCCTTGTGGTCGCGGGGACGCGGTGTGCGGTGTGCGAGGAGCGAGACTAACGAGCAGAGTCGAGGCTGATTAACGTTGGCACCACCAGCGGCCGATCCGAGATAGGGGGCAGCAGCTCGGCCATCCTCATTTCCATGCCGTCATCCTCTTCCTCCTCCTCCTCCTCTTCATCCGCCTCATCATCATCATCATGCTCACTGTAACCATCCTCATCCTGAAAAGTGTCCTCTTCATCATCGCCATCGCCATCATCATCGTTCTCCTCCTCCTCGTCTGATTTCATCTTTAAAACCTTGGGGGTTGCAACAAATGTTTGTCAGCGCGAGTAAAAGACACCGGTTCACCCATCTTGTCGTAACTCTCGAGGATGTGAAAAGAAAGTAATAATAAATTAAGGGTGTGTTTTTAATACGGAGCACCGAGGCGTGCCAGAGGGCAGCGCTCTATCCTACAAAGATGGAACAGGTGGAATCCACGCTTGCTGTACTGCCTTCCCCCTTGACGAGGCAGGTGATGGCACATCTTTGACGCCCACGGAAAGAGTGTGTCCACAACATTCGCGTGATCCACAAACCCTCGCTGCTGCTGCTGCTGCCTCCACAGCGCTGGATCACGACCCTAACCCTAACCTTCTGCATGGCCACCACCGCCGCCACCGCCACCACCTCTGGTGCCCGCAACGTAGCAACACGTAGAGCTAAACTCGATTGGGTCACCTCGCATAGAGGGCTGCGTGCACCGTCCTCGTTCCCTGGCTCTTCCACAAGGTCCTGGATAGGAGCAAACGATTGCGTACACTCACGATGTTTCATAATGTGTACCCGCAGCAGGTCGGCAATCCTTACAATCGCGACCAAACTGGTGGCTCAATTAACTGTACGAATTGCTCTATTTGTGTTGCTTTTGTCTCGTTGGTCACGGGTGTATGGATGGATGGGTCATTAGTCACGGGTGCGCGTGTGTGAGTTTGTGCGCGTGTGTGCGTGGCTGTGCGAGTGAGTGTGTGCTAATGTGCGTGCATGCAAGTGCGCGCTCGTGTGAGTGCGCGTGGGTGTGCATGGCGGGTGCCATCACCACGCTGTCCACGCTGGAGTCGCACAAGAACGCCACGCGGTGGCTGCCCCTCTCAGTGCCATCGCCGGACACCGGATCCGTCACCGCCCGCTCCAACGTGCCCTCCTCTCCCGGCTGCTCGCCCTCCTCGTCCTCCTCCTCCTCGTCGTCTGATGGGGAAGAAGAAGAGTTGCAGAAGAGGGTCGGAGAAGAGAAAGTGGTGGGCTATGAGCGTATTGATGGACAGACTCACAGAGACCCATAGACTTGCACAGAGACCCATAGACTCACACAGGGACCCATAGACTCACAGAGACCCACAGACTCACACAGGGACCCACAGACTCACACAGAGACCCACAGACTCACACAAAGACCTATAGACTTGCACAGAGACCCATAGACTCACACAGGGCCCACTGACTCAATGTGTTCCACAGTTTGTTGTGGTTCATCACAGTCGTATTTGGTTTATTTATTTTTAATTTCCCACGTCCACAGGAGGAGGCGTTTGCTCATGCCATGGCTGGTCTGGACACGATGCCGGGGAGTCCAGGGCTTAAAGAGGCACCGACACGGCGTAACGCGCTTACCACTCGCGCCTCGTGACAAGACGCATGGCGAGCGGTGAAACACAGGGGTGCGGCATGAACTCCATCTTCGCCGTGAACGTGCCGTGCGTGTACGCGTGTACGCGTGTATGTGCGCGTGTGTCCCCGTGCAGTCGGGAGCGGTAGTGTAGTGCACAGCAGGAGCTGCGAACCCAGCAACAGACGAGTTCGATTCCTGTGTATAGCCAACAGTGACGGTTATCTGAACTGGTTCTGGGCCTCCCCTAGGTTGACCCAGCCTGAAATGAGTACCTGTTGCGATGTGTGAACATCGCCACGAGGGAGACATCAGTGGTCGTGTGCTGTGCTGGCCACTCAACCGCTCGTGTGACGTGCCGGCCTTCATAGGTGCTCGCTAATAGCACCTGCTCCAACAGTCTGTTAAGCCTATATGGGGGATTTTTGTCTTTTGTGTCCCTGTGCATGCGGTACTGCCCATGCGTGGGTCCTTGTGTGCGCCTGCCCGTGTGCGCGTGCCGGTGCGTGTGGTACCGTATGTCTGCGTGTCTGGCTGCGGCAGCATGTAGTTTGACAGCACACGCATGCCCGTCTCCGAGTCCACATCGTTCTGCAGGGGCACCAGGGGCTTGGACTGGACGGCCAAAGAGATTCACGCACGGCAGTGTGAGGGGGCGCGCATCAACGCGCGTCCCGTGACACACGGCGACGGTAAACAACACGGACGCACGGGAGAGTGGTCGTCGCTAAGCCATCACAGCGAGGCCGCCGTCTTGAACGTTCCCCCCAGGCAGTCGCCGCCGTGATCCGTCGGCCCTCGCCAGGCGACGCGGCGCGCGTCATGAGAGCGAGTCACGGGGCACGTCACGGAGCGCGTCACAGGACGCGTCACGGAGCACGACGCGCGTCATGAGAGCGCGACGGTCCGCGAGCGGCACCAGGCCGGGCGTGGCCGTCACCGTGCGGGGCGAGGCCCACGGACGGTCGGGTTAAGTTCCGCATCTACTTTCGATGCTCGACCGCGGGGCCAGGCCAGCCGGACCGCCTGGTGGGCGAGGCGATACCGGCCCGTGCTACCCTCTGGGGTGAGTTTTCTCACCAGACTACAATCCCCAACAATAATGCCGTGCAGCGCACGTGACCCGACGTGCTGCTGTCGAGGCTTTGCCAAGCACCACCCCATCACTTTGGTTACGTCCAGTTCAATACCGCACTTGGTTCCCCGGGGAGCGCGACACCCGGTTATAATTAACGTCAATTTACAGCCACTTCATCGATGCACTGCTGGACGAGTGAGGGTCTCCCCAAGCAGAGCGGGTTATTAAACCAAACTTCACTACGCTCGTCGGCGTGGGCCGGTGAAGGCACGGACGTGTGGAAGTGCCGCCTGCTGCTCACCGCCTAGCCCCAGGTTCAGCCCTGTTTAGCCTACAAGATCTGACGAGATCGGGCGGATTCCACGTGGTTTGGCCATCGGCTCTTCCTCCCAAGGGCACACAGGTACGAGTGGAGGGAGGCACACCTGGTTGTCGGAGAGCCAGAGGGCGGAGAGGGAACGCAGTCTCATGAAGGAGAGGGGGAGAGCCCGGAGCCTGCGACACAGGGGGCGCGGGGGGGAGGAATGTCGGGGGTGCGAGGGAATGTGGGGGGCCGGGGGAACACGGAGAGTGTAGGGGAACGCAGGGGGTTACGTGAACGCAGGGGGTGCAAGGGGGGACACAGGGGGCACGTGAACGCAGGGGGGCACGTGAACGCAGGGGGTGCAAGGGGGGACACAGGGGTGCAAGGAGGGACACAGGGGGCACTTGAACGCAGGGGGGCACGTGAACGCAGGGGGTGCGAGGGGAGACACAGGGGTCATGGGGAAATGAAGGAATTCCAAGTTACTCACAAAGCCTCTTTGACCTCTGCCAGGGGTTCAAATATTCATTCATCAGGAAAGTCAAACGGTCTGTCTGCTCTAACGAGCAAGGCCCTAAATCCATCGGCGGACATTCCATATTCCAATGGCAGGAGCCAGTTTATGCATAGACGAAACACAGTTTTTTTTTTCTTTTCCTTAGGGCGCTGTCTTTCCGACAGCTCTGTTCTTCACCTGACGACGGCTGCTTGCGTTGTGGCCGAAACGTCGTGAGAATTTTATTATGTTTTATTTTTATTATTTCCCTTCTATGTGACTTTACCGAAAGAACCAAGAACACAGTTTATTTCTTTCCCATATCGGGAGGAACGTACAATGGGAAATGGAAAGAGCAACATGGGCATTAAAGAGCAAACGCAAGAGACACCACAGGACAGGTCGCTCGAAAAAATGAAGGCCGATGGTCGAGACTTATAACGGAGTGGCAGCCCAAGGGGGCACCGCGCTCGGGAAAACATCCACCACAAAGACGCGGCAACAAAATCGACTCGTGTGTGGGCGCTCGCCCAATGGTGGGCAACCTGCGTTCCACGGAGCCCCTCGCAGTGGCCTGGTCCCAGTGTGTCTAGGAGCGATGCGTGGGGGTCACGATGGGGCCCACCGAGCAGTGTGGGATTGCACGAGACGGAATGTGGCATCTCAAAACCAGGAGCTGTGGCGATGGCGCGGGGAAGCCTTCACCGGGCAGCGCGTCGATCACGGTCAACGGGGATGACGACAGCGGGTTTCCACGAGGGTGGCACCATGTGCGTGTGTGCGTGAGTGCGTGAGTGCGTGTGTGCGTGAGTGCGTGAGTGCGTGCGTGCGTGCGTGTGTGCGTGAGTGCGTGTTTCTGCATGCATTGGCCGTGACCGGGAATTAAACTCGGGGTTCGTCAGGTTTGTAGTGCAGCGTGCTAATCGCTACACTACTGCTCATAGGCGCTTGCTAACAACATTTGCTCCTACAACCTGTTAAAGCTATACGGAGGATCTTTGTCTTTGTGTGCATGCGTGAGTGCGTGCATGAGCGCATGTGCGAGTGCGTGCATGAGTGAGTGCGTGCATGATTGAGTGTGTCAGTGCGTGAGTACGTGCGTATGCATGCGTATGCGTGAGTGTGCATGAGTGCGAGCGTGTGTGCGGATGCGTGACTGTGCAAGTGCGTGTGTGCGTGAGTGTGCGGATGCGTGAGTGCGCACGACGACGCGGCGGACGGGGCGGCTCACCGGTTGTGCGCGAGGTTGAGCACGCGCAGCCGCTGGAGGCGACTCATCTCCGAGGGCAGCCAGGCCAGCTGGTTGCTGGCCAGGGACACGACGCGCACGGCGCGGCAGCTCCCCACCTTCCGCCAATCGCAGGCACAGCGCGGCAAGCCGTCACTCGGAGGCTCCCGGATTGCGCAACAACTCGTGAACTCGTTCCCACCGGGGTATCCCACAGGGGAGCCGCCACAGGGGCACGGCGGCCAGCGGCGCGCCAGGCTTGCACTCCGAAGGTCGCCGGTTCGATTCCATCTCCCGGCGCGGGGGTTCAAAGCACGGGGCCGGTTTCTTAAACCCCCCCCACCACCCCTCCCCTGTCCACCCAGCGGTGTGAATGGCTTCAGCACAGTTGGTCTATGACCAGCAGGCCGTGTGCGGTGGGGTAAAGAGTGGGTACCTCCCCACCTTTTTCTGAGCCGTCTGGCTGGTGGCGTGGAAGGATAGGCCAGATACCCTCTAGGGAGGGGGCCCCTCCAGTGCCGCCTCCACTGGAGGACGTTCTGCCAGCAGTGCCGCGAGCCGGCCGCTGCAGGGCTGCGCCGCTCCGTAACGACGCGAAGGGCCGGTCGCCGCGTGGTGAGCGAGGGGCGGGCCTCACCTCTGGGGGGAGGTGAGTGAGGCTGTTGAAGTCGGCGAGCAGCGTGTGCATGTGGTGCAGGTGCCCGATGGTGCGCGGCAGCGTCACCAGCTCGTTGTAGCTGCAGTCAAACTCCTCCAGCAGCAGCAGCCTGTGCAGGGGTCGCGGTGCCATCATCATCATCACCATCGTCACCATCGTCTCCATCGTCACCGTCATAACCATCGTCACCATCATCACCATCGTCACCATCATCACCATCATCACCATCGTCTCCATCGTCACCGTCATAACCATCGTCACCGTCATCGTCACCATCGTCACCATCATCACCATCATCACGATCGTCACCATCGTCACCATCATCACCATCGTCACCATTGACTCCATCGTCACCGTCATAACCATCGTCACCGTCATCGTCGTCGTCATCATCGTCTCTGTTTCCAAGCACTTAAAATAACCTTGCTCCATTAAAGAAATGTACGTATGTTGTATGTATGTTAAGCTTATTTCACACCGTACGTAGTCAACCGTGCTAATCAGAGGTGCGGGGGAACGACAACAAAAATGTGTCGTCTCTCATCTGTTACAACTTTAGTCATGCTGCTTGTCGCTGTGCTGGACTGTATAAAAAATTAATATATAAACCAGCGGCGATAAATGCACTTTGGCTCATGTAGCCCTTGCCCATTTGCTGGGCTCCTCTTGCTGCAAACGACGCCGTTCTTCCAACGCGACATAATCTGTGCAGTCGCTGGTGACCGGGCCGAGAAGAGGATGCAAACCCAGGCCCCTCAACATTGCGGGCCCAACGCTGTTACATAACGTCTATTGACTGGCGACAAAACCACTATAAAATTGGAACTTCTCAGCCACAAAATGCGAATAACCATGAAAGCCAGCAGACCGTCTCCACTTTTGTGTTTGTCGAATTGCTTTGTGGTTCGAGTGCTCGGCCCCGATGACGCAATATGCTTGGTTGCAAGGGGCGACTGGATATAAATTTAGAGCCGTTGAATTGTAAAGCCTATTCATCATCAGCCACAGTCAATCCTCAAGCCGGCACCATCGCTCATTCTTTTTAGACGTAACATTACATCCGGCACCTGCGCACGAGTTGATTTAATCGCTCCATGTCCACGGTAGTCTTTGTGTCGGACGCGCTCCTGCCTTCTGCTGCCACTCCGTCTCTACGTCTCGGCCGTTGGCCAGCGTCCTTTCTCGCCGTGGCGAGTCCTGCCCAAACCTATTTATATGTCTTAAGAGTGAGAGTGATGTGTGCTCTCCGATCCATGCGTTTCCTATCTACGTCTGTCAGCGTAATATTCCTAGCGTGCATCTCTCCACGCCTCTTGTGTCCACCTCTCAGCTTTTGTTCCACTTTCTTTGTCAATGCCCAACTAACCCTTTGGCAGAAATATGGAGAGAGATAGGATCTTAAAATCCAAGTGTGGGGGCTGAGTTTATCCACGCTGAATGTAGTAATGTGGCCGTGCATTGTGTGTAGGGAGTGCACGTGGTGAGTGCACATGTCCTTGGGTGTGCCAAGAGTGTGGTTCTGGCAAAGGTTCGAGGTTCGGTTCCAACAGGCCGCCCTGGTTAATGCGGACGTTGTGTATTTTAAGGTTAAAATGCCCGCTGTATTAATCGTAAAAATACGCACGCGTGGCGGCATGATGGTCCACAATTGAAAGACTGCCGTGCAAATCACTCAACTTTGGTATGACTTAGTCAATTCCCCGCCTAGACTCAGAGAAAAGCTCCCACTTGCAGGCCGCTGTCGAGCCAACTTTTGCCACACAGAAAATAGTTGCCACTGGGGATGCCCTTTCAATGATTTAGAGGAGATGCGATGTAAGAGCTTTGAGTTGCGGAGGCATTTAATCAAGTGCCACTGTGCATGCGGAGATTATTTCATTTGCAGCCAATGCAGGCTAAACGGAGATCTTTGTCCCTTGTATTTGGAGTGCAATGCTTGGGGTGGTGGTGTTACCCTCCTATGGTGCCGGGGAGTTCTGTCAGCTTGTTTCCATCCACCTTGAGCGTCTTCAGCTTCTTGAGGCCTCCTGCCAACACCCGCACAGCAAACCCACAGCCGCGTCTAATTCACCGGCGCTCAAGAGGGCAACGCGACCGGGGGTCGGTAGCTACGCTGCTTGTGGCCGATGGTAACCGAGCGCCGTGGAGATGGCAGCGAGGGTTGGTGGGTCACACAAAGATGGTGTGAAACTCCCTTCCCGTGGGCGTCGAGGAGGTGCCATTCCCTGGCTCGCGAGGAGAAGGCGGGACAGCAAGGAATGTGGACACCACCTGCTCCGTTTGTGATCCACTGCACAAAATCAATGGAGGCAGCGGCAGCGGTCGAACACCCGGCTTCACCTGAATCCGTTGCGTGGCTTTATGCTTGGATATAGGTCACAACGTTGATATTTACTCAGCTACACACAAGATGAATCTAAATGTCAAGTTCTTGGTGCAGTCTCTTGGGCGACCGGATTTATTGCCATGTGGGCATTTGAACAGCACGTGCTCGCGTGCAGGTATGATTGTAGGTATAGTCTGCCACCTAGTGGTGCAAAACACTTCTTACTGTATTGTGCACAGCTTTTTCTCCCCACAAAGTTTACATAAAACGTCGAGCGTTTTACAATCCACTGCTGAATGAAGGCTTCCCCACCCCGCGTTGGTCATGGAGGTTGATTGACCACACGTGACCAAGGAGACGGCGATCAGTTCACATCACTGTCCGCTGATGTTAGCCGCCGTGGCCGGGAATCGGACTCAGGTCGCTGGATTCAGAGCACCGTGCACATTTCCCACCTTGCCACTGCAGCACTCTTGTGAGCCAACCGTTTATATCGAGTTCTAGTAAGCGTGAAGCGTTACTCTCCTTGAACTCGGAGGACTGTTACCCTGCAGACCCGAGAGCGTTTTCGCTCCCACCTTCCCCCCGAACCGCAACTGACCGAGAGAGGCAGGCAGGCACGGCAGCTGATTGGACGACAGGAGCAGGTCCTGCAGGTCCTGGCAGCGCTCAATCTCCGTTGCGACGGTGCACAGGCGGTTCTCGCTCACGTCCAGGTAGCTGAGCGCAGCCAAGTGCCCGAGCATCTGCAAGCCCAGCAAAGACTCGTAACGTTGTTACCGCAAGACCGTGGTGCGGGTCATCTTAGGGAGAGCATGAGAAAAAAGACAGCCCCGATGACTATGCGAGCAAATGAGTAAGGCAATTAAATCACAAGCTGGCTTGCGAGCAGTCAGAGAAACGAACAGTAAATTGGGGAGCCAAGATGTTGTGCAACCGTTGGGTCAGCATTACACCCGGCCAGCCAATAACACGGTCATGTGACAAACCAACGATGTAACTATCCAGATAACTACTCCACCAACTAACAACAACTACTCAAATAATAAAACATGTGAAGGCTAGGGTTGGTTTTGCCCGAACGATTGAATGTTCAAATCAACGGCGCTTATTTCAGCCAAGTAAGTTAAGTGGAAACCCAGCGAGTGAACCAAGATTTTGTGGAAATGTTCTGGATTGGTTCGGGACCTCTCCGCGGCGTCACAGGAAAGCACATGCCACGCGAAACGCCGACACGACGGGCAGCGCACAAACGTGTACCAAGACGGTAAATGAACACAATCACGCAACCAAGGGCAGCAGCAACGCTCAAAGCGGAACCCACGCAAGCGGAAACACAACAGTTACCATTCGTTATAGGCCCGAGGCTGGTGTGCTCGCAATTCCGCAAAGCACGAAAAAATGGACAGAAATCAATATATTGCTTCGGACGAAAGATGCATGTTTGAATGTTATTATATCATAATGTAACAACCTTTGTAAATCCACTGCCGGTTGAAGGCCTCCCCACACCGCTGTCGGTCTAGGGGTTGTTTGATCATACTTCAACAAATTTCTCAGTGCGGGTTGGTGAAAGAGGCGGGGAGGAGGGACGGTCCAAAGACCGGTTCAATCTATCACTCGCCACTGATGTTTTAGCTGCGGCCGGGAATCAAACCCAGGTCGCCGGGCTCATAGAGCAGCATGCTAACCATTGTGCGCCGCTCCACCCAGTACGCGTTTACAACGCCTGAACGCTTGTATACATTTCGTGGGCTGCGTATTCCTTTGCAGAGCAGGGAGTGAATCCTAAACCAAATGTGCAACAGGAAAGCGACCTGGACGCCGAATAAGGTCGCGTAAATGGGTGACCTCACACTACAATGTTCTCGAAAAAAAGTCGCTCCCTGCTCCCACATCCACTGGGCTCACCTGCTAAACGCCACCGAGAAAGTTCCCTGGACAGACGGAGAGACAAGAAGGCCAGTGGCCAAGAGGGGGGAAACTCAGCACACGACTTCACTGTGGCAGCATCCAGCAGGACACAGCCGAGGTCACCTTCACCGGGATGGGTCATGTACATTTGTCAATTTTGGAAATATTATACAGATACCTCATCGATATTACAGGGATACATGAAAGAGGAAACAACATTTTTTTTACAAAGCCCAAACATGTCGCCCGCCAATCTTAATCCACTTTATTATATTCTAACTCTCTCCTCTGTAAGATATGCAAACCTGTCAACCGCTTATCAGTGCCTACCTAATCACAGACCAATTCAGACCTTATTGGTCACCCCGTGCCCTTATAAATCTCAACGTTCATCCTACAAAGTCCCATCACAAAGGAGTTGTTGTTGCCCGTATTGAAACGGCTGTACGATGTATGGACCTGAAAACTCAATTTCCCTCGACAAGAATACGGGTAAACCGTATGGGTTGACAGGTATGGATATGACAGCTATAACTTTCACAACAGTCAATCACCTGGTAATAAGAAAACGGGATAGAAATCAGTGGGGTGTCTATAAATGTATCACCATGTGAAAGTTATATTGAGCCATGTGTGTTGTCTCCAAGCTCAAACAGGCCAGTTGTAAAGATTCTCAATTCCAATGGCCTCCAAGGATGTAGCGCTGAGCTTGGGCTGCCGAGCATCTGGATTGGAATCCAGGTTCCAGCCGCCCACGATTAAAACCGGGTTCTCAGTAGACTGGGCACACCTACTTGGCAACAAGCTGGGTCCGTAGTTACCTCTATTTATTTGCTATCACTTTCTTTTTTCACCAAGGTCCTCCGTGGGTCACTCGTGAAACAGCTCAAGGCTGAAAGTTGACTTAGCCCGAGTCAACAAATAGAATAAAATCACATCTAAAGTGGAGTGAGTTTATGGTCTCAGCCGAGTCATCTGGTCACGAGAAGAAAAAATATCGTCAGATGAAATTTCATTCTGAAGTTAATTTCGTGTGTTATTCGAAAAAGAATAGGCCATGTGCACGGCATCACGGTCATATTTTTTCCAAAGATGAAAATTTACATCGCCCCCCCCCCCCCCCCCCTACTGGCAGCCTACTTGTGACACGGGGCCTTACGCTGTAAGACTGCCGCGATCACCAAATGTACGAAAATGATTTTTTACATTATTAGTAAGCATCGCTCAGTGCCATGGTTCTCAACTAATATGGTAAGGCGGATCCCCAATCAAGACCACTGGTCCCAGCCCCACCCCCACAACCCCCCGCGCCACCTTCCCCACACCCCATCGCACGTTCCAAAGGCCACAACACACAGGGAGATCACGAGGCCACGCCTCTGGTCAACGCAGCGTTGGTAAGGCATGTGCTTTGTGTTGTGTTTGTGTGCTTTGTGTTGTGGTTGTGTTGTGTGCTTTGTGTTGTTTGTGTGCTTTGTGTTGTGTTGTGTGCTTTGTGTTGTGTTGTGTGCTTTGTGTTGTGTTTGTGTGCTTTGTGTTGTGTTTGTGTTGTGTTTGTGCGCTTTGTGTTGTGTCTGTGTGCTTTGTGTTGTGCTTGTGTGTTTTGTGTTGTGTTTGTGTTGTGTTTGTGTTGTGTCTGTGTGCTTTGTGTTGTGTTGTGTTTGTGCGCTTTGTGTTGTGCTTGTGTGTGTTGTGTATGGATGATGCATTTTGCAGCCCCTCCGCCGTCCCAAAAAGTATTCGGGGGGGGGGGGGGCAGCCCCCTGACAGTTTGAGAATCACTGGCTTAACGCTCGTATGAGCAGAGAGACACTGTGACCTCACGTTCCCCGGATGCCGTGAGCACAGCACGTACCGCGGGGAGGATGAGCAGAGAGTTTCCGTCCATCAATAGCTCCTGTAGGGTGGTCAGCTGCTGCAGCACAGGCGGCTGACATTCGCACACACACGCGTGCGGACCAGATGTCATCGTTATGACCATGGTGAGGATCGTTCTTTAGGACAGCACCTTCTGTCGGCTGGGGCATCTCAAGAGTGCTTTAACACACGATAAGCGACTTTCATCTCAACAGCGCAACTAAAAGGGCAGCCCCAGTGGCAGCTGTTCCTGTGCGGCACAAGTGACTCAGCACCTGGCCTTCCCAGCGGGCATTATTTTGCCGGTAGGGGGCGATAATTATAATTCCGCGCTAGATACAATATGCGGTGTAATTTTTTTTAAATATGGCACATTTGGACCATGACGCCGATAAGCAATGGCCTACTGGGTTTAAATTCCATCGGAGGATCTTTAACAAACGCTACGAAGCAAACGACGCGAAGTACTTTACAGTGACTACACCCACACTATTTACTTGGGTGGGCTGCCCAATACACAATGCACACATACACAACAGCAGGGCTCTTCAGCCATGCTGCGCCGTGGGCCACAAAATGAGGGTGGGCTTGGCGAGCCCACATGACGGCATAACGTCTGTGCGGCGGCCCTCACCACGTGACTGAAGTCATTGCAGCCCAGGTCCAGTCGTCTTAACTGGCTCAGCCGGTGCATAGCCCTGCCGGGGGGTCGGGGGTCATAGGTCACAGACAAGCAGAATGTCAACAAAGTTTTGGCGTCAAGTCCGAGAGAGGCCATCGCGGCCAACGTCAATGACAACAAACCTCAAAACGACTTCCTTCACTCTGCTAGATTTAGCAGCTTTTGCACAATCGATATTCCACCTGCAGGTTGGGTCTGGCGTGGCCCAGGAATGCGCTACGCTGGAGAGAATGGGTTCCTCTTCAGGATGATATCACACTTCAATACGGTTACCAAGAGTGCAATGTGTCAGCAGCTCTTGATCATTTTACTCGTCATACAAATGAGTTTACGTGTAATAAATGTTTGACTTTGAAGGGTTCGTTTGTTACACTATATCTACTCATGGGTACCTTTCAAAGTAACAATTTAAGACTGCTGGAAAGCGGTGGCTACACGCGTCGCATGTAACCCAGCGCTGTGGACACGAGGATTGGTGGATCACCGCACACATCTTGTGAAACTCTCTTCCCGTGGGCATCGAGCAGGTGCCATACCCTGGTTCGCCAGGAGAAGGCGGTACAGCAAGTGGACTAATCGCCACCTGTTTACATTCTTACGGAGATAGAGCGTTGCCCCGTCGCGCTTCTTTTATTCTCTACGGGTGCTCTGATTTCCTCCAACACGTATAAACAAGTCATTTATTTGCTAAAGACTTCTTAAATTAAAACCCAATGCAGCAGGACCCGCTTGAAAAAGAGTCCTATGACTTCCCTGGACCAATAAGTAAATTATGTATTATTATTGTACGTTCATCTAAGAACATTCTTAAAATGTAATTTCTATCAGGGCCCCATGGTACATCGTGGAGGCTTCTATCACTCAGTCTCTCTGACCTCTCCATCTCTCTACAATGAAGTATGGCCATTGTCTGAAACGTTGCCGATTACCATATCCTCTGGATTATAAGACGCAACTCGAAAATAAAATGCATCCCAAACTTGTGCCCGGTGTCAGTAAAGGCTTACAAATCTGGAAACACACCACACGACTACCGGATTACAAGACTCACCCTCAACTTTTACTTTAAAACACTGGGGGGGAATAAAAAGTGTCTTATAATGCAGAGAATATGGTAGATCTCTGTTCTTGTGGGCAATGTCTCTGGGGGGTGAGTTGAGTGCCGGGCGGGGCTCACTTTGGCAGCGAGTTGAGGTGGTTGTCCCTCAGCTCCAGCACGCGCAGCTTGCACAGCCTGCGCACAGACAGGGCAGCAGACGATTGGCTCTCAGCCTGCTCACCAATGGCAGCACGACAGAGCCGTCCGGCCCTTCACGCACGGCTTTACCTAGAGCTGAGGCGCCTCGTAGATTTAGTCGATTAAGCAACAAATTATTGAAATCAACTCCTCTTTTATGGTCGATTACTCAGGCCCTGTTGAAAACAGACATTCCCCCCCCCAATATCCGACCGCTTGAGTGCGGGAAACCTCCTAAAATCACGCTGAGCACGACTCAGCTCAAGATGACGTCACCAAACCCCATCCATGACCACCCGTCCAGGGGCACACGTGGGAACAAGAGATTCAACCGTTTTTCTCCGTTTAACACGCAGGCTTTCGCGACCAATATCATCCATAAAAATGTTTTTTGTGGGTTAGATCGCGTAAATATATAACAGTTTTTTTCTCCAAATATGTTCGTGCTATCCGACAAGTCGAGCAATCGAACCAACAATCGGTGGGTAGTTGAACAGTTAGATAGCCGGGTGGCAGCTGGTGCATGACCGCATGCTCTTGACGACGCTGCCGTGTGCGATGTGCGAGGACTCACCGCCCCAGACTAGCCGGCAGGAACTCCAGGAGCACGTCGCTGAGGTAGAGCTCCGTCAGGCTCACCAGCTGCGTAAGGCCGTCCGGCAGCCTGGCGGCAACACGCGTATCACGCCGCTCGGGACACTTCGCTCAAGGCAAAGGCGCAGTACCGCAATGCCCTCGCTCGCTACGTCGCTGGCAGAAGGACCACCGCCATCACTGCACTCAAGGGAACTTCAATAAGGCCCTGCTAGGCATGTTTACTATTTCACGCTGGCCTGCAACGTGCGGTCTCAGCGATTGATTTTCAGGGCTTGGCTTAGTTGACAGGGCTTGTGGCAAAGAGGTATGAGCTACCAAGTAGCTCCTCAGACGGAAGAAACTACCGAGAGGTCAGATGAGAGCGTGACACCTGCTTCCGTCCTGGCCTGCTGCAGGCTTGTCAAGGCCGGCTAAACTTTGTTTAGCACCAGAGACAACAATGGAATGTAATGCAATCGGCATCGCAAGGCATAGAGTTACACTAAGAGAACGGGGATCATTAATAAACAAGAGGAATAGGAGAGCGGACAGGACTCGGGCGCAACGTTCGTCAGCGTTGTTAACAGATGGAGCAATTGCCATAACCAAGAGGGGAAGTTGGATCGACAGGATAACGTGTAAGCCATCCTTTGCAGGGCCAAACTGATTGAAATGATGAGGGTGGTGCCAGACCGAGGCTGTGCAGTGGGTGGGCGGTACTGATCTGAAAGGCACCCCCCCAGGCAGTAGTAAGACTGGATGAGGTTTACTGGATGGTGTTCCCCATGCCGCCACTTCCCGACACTCCACATCCTATGCCCCCTTGCCCACTCCCACCAATCCACACTGACCAGCATGTAAGTGGATTGACAAAGGGCTGTGCATCGTTATCGAGTGTAGAAATTATCCTGCGGTCATTCAATTGGTTTCAAATGTTGCATATTAAGTCACCTGGAGAGTGTGTTGTTGCTCACATTCACCACACTCAGTTGCCTGCAACTCCTGATGTTGTCTGGGATGTCCCGCAGCTCTGCGAGAAAAAAAAAAGGCCTCCTGTCAGTCCAACACCTCTCACTTGTAGCCCCATGACAACATTTCCTCCGTGACAGCTATCCAATGTGTTGCCAGGTCGTATTGCGTGTTGTTCGGTCTGATGTCCGAGGAGGAGCCGTACCCTAGCTCACCAGGGTATGGGTCCTTCTTGATGCCCACGGGAAGAAAGTTTTACAACGTTTGTGCATTGCACCGACCCTGGCTGCCTCGGTGCTGGATTACAGGCGTGTGTCGCCACCGCCGCCCGGCTAAACATCAGCCCCCACGGGCTTACCCCTGGCTGTATGTCACGAGTGTGCGTGCGTCTCTCCTTGCCGTTACGACTTGCGTCGATGCGACGCAGGCCGGCCAGGCCTCCGATGGCAGGCGGCAGGCTGGCCAGGTCATTGTCAGCGACGCTGAGAACCCGCAGCAGAGGCAGGGCGCACAGCTCCTGTGCACGCACGGACAAGGTGAACACATGGACAAGGTGAACGCACGGATGGGCAGGTGAATGCACGGACAGGGTGAACGCATGGATAAGGTGAACGCACGGACAGGGTGAACGCACGGACAGGGTGAACGCATGGATAAGGTGAACGCACGGACAGGGTGAACGCACGGACAAGGTGAACGCATGGATAAGGCACAGCGTCTCCTCCCACTGTGCGCTACAGCTAAGGCAGCGCACCGAATTTCCGAGCTGGCTTGCTGACGACGCTCAGAGCAGCTTGAACCGAACGTCGCCGTGCGTGGAAGTGGAATTCAGCCGTGAGAGGTCTCAGGCCAATGGCGAGGAGCTTCGTCGGTCAGAATTGGATCAATACATATGTGCAACGTCTGCATAATAATACTGGGCTAATGTGAAAATATAGTCGCGTGGTGGAGGGTTAATGACAATCATTATGGCAAAACACTACCGCCATGCGACCTAACCCAAATACATGGGCTAATTGTACTGGATGAGGACCTACGTTTAAAGTTAATCACGTGGGAATCAGTGCTTTTTTATCCGTATGTTTGGTGATGTGACAGTTCCCCGCTAAAACTCACATGTGATGGATGAATAAGAGTTGGAAATTCTACATTTGCATGGCAGGACAACTTCTGGCCAGTTATTTACAAAAAGAAAGTTTTTTTTATAAGTAACATATAGAGTTTATAAATAATAATGAATACAATAATCGCCCTGTAATATAGAGTTGAGCGTGTAAGATGATTGATTTTCTAAATACAAGAAATAACATTAAAATATAGGCAAGGCAAGATGGCTTAATATTTGCCTATGACCATGACATAAGAATTGGTTTTAGCCATGCTGCCAATTAAATAGTTGTGTTAAGATGTTAAAACACCAGAAACCTTTAGGAAGGACTCATGTCTGCATTAAACACACATACTTGTGTTTTTTTCCCCACAACCCCACCCCAGTCCCCCCACCGAGTACGCAGCGACGTTGCAGCGCTGTGCGGGCCACGTTTCGGTACGGAGGCACGTGCGTGCGTGCGCGTGTGCTTGCTCGCAACCTTGGGCAAGTCCTGAATGTAGTTTCCGTCCAGGTGAATCTCTTGCAGAGACTGAGCACTGGCTGGCGTGTACACTTGTGGGGGGACCGTGTGGAGACGCGTATGGGAGAGGTCAAGGATGAGGCTGTCGTCACCGCCCTCCCCATCCTTGATCCCAACACCTCCTCCTCTCTCCCCACTACCGCCGCTGCCGCCACCACCACCCAGGCACGAGCACACCAGCCGGGGAAACGAACGCTGCTTGCTCTGCTTGGTCAACATTCCTGTTTCACGCACGCACACACAAACGCAAGCGGCGACAAGATGGCAGATCCTCTAAAGCAGGGGGTCAGGAACCGATGGCCCCACGACTTTAATTTATGAGGCCCACGACTTCATTTCAGGAGGCCTGTCACTTGCAAAACAGCCCACAAATGACGATTCTCCATCAATGAAAGCATCTTAGCCGCACTAATCGGGCACTCGAGATGAATATTCTCAATGTGGCTGCAACTTGAAAGCTAAGCAAGGTTAAGCTGAATCTTTTAGTGCACAACTTTCATGTTATCCCGTAGACAACAAGAGTTTCCTGTGGCTTCTCTGATTTCCTGCCACGCGAAGCCAAACACTCATTAACGGAACTGGACAAACATTCCAATACAGGACCCTGCTGAAAACACAGCCTTGAGACTCAGCACTGCCATCACCATCGTTAACAACGCGCAATCTTCACGCAGGCCTTTCGAATGTACGCCACAAACCGGTGATGTCATTTTTGTAATGGTTCAGTGTTCGTCCTGGCTTGTTTAAACATGTTCTCGACATAAAATGGTTTATGATAGTTGTAACAGCAGGATAATGCAGTAAACTTTGTACGACATGGTCAGCGGCACAGATAAGTTTTATGGAGTTCACAAGGCACGCCTTGGAAGGGGAACTTTAAAAAAGGCTGGGCCATCGATGGTTTGCTAATTAAAAGTTGGGACACATTACGATTGTTAATAATTACATAGTTAAGCTTATTCTCAGTAAGTGTATGTTAATTCAATAACGTGCAAAGTAAAAAAAAATGCCCTGGCTTGAATTAGATTTCGATTTAAAGCTTTCGTGGCTGCAGGGATTCATCTTCTTGGTTGTTTCGGTAAAGTCACGTAGAAGGGAAATACTAAAATAATAAAAAATACAATAAAACACAATAAAATACATTTCTCACGACGTTTCGGCCACAACGCAAGCAGCCGTCCTCAGGTGAAGAACAGGGCTGTGGTGAAGTATGGTCGTCTGAAAGACTGCCCTGTTCTTCACCTGAGGACGGCTGCTTGCGTTGTGGCCGAAACTTCGTGAGAATTGTATTTTATTGTTTTATTTAATTTGTTATTTCCCTTCTACGTGACTTTACCGAAAGAACCAAGAAGTTGAATTCGATTTTTTAAATGTGGTAAAATTGTAAATCCATCCGATGGCTTTTACAAGGGCTGTGTGAAGCGCAGCAGTTAAGGGCACTGCCCACGAGCCCAGCCACCTGAGTTTGACTCCTGGGGCTTGGCCACGAGTGGCGGCGGGTGATGTGTGCACAGATCTTGGGCGCACCGTTCACCAAGCCACACCGATTGTGGTTAAGTATGGTCGACAACCCCACGTGACCAACAACAGTGAGGTTTCTTCGTCCAGTCGTGGATTCACCGCAACATTTTTGGTGGAAGTTAAAACCTCCACAAACCTTTGTCCTTTGATAAACGAAACCCGCATTCGGCGGAACACAGTTGTGACCCATTGACACTGATCTACATAGGCGGCGGCTAAGGGAGCCTTGTGCTTGTACGCGACTCTGTGCGATGCTATGAGAAGCTAAAGTTGGTTCAGAAACGTGTTGACCCTTCCGAGTGCCGCCAGGAGGCAAAGTACACAACACGGCTCGGGTCGAGGCGGGCGCAGGGCGTGAAGTCGTCTCGCGCGGACATTCCACACCCCCATGGCAGGGCCATGTCTGTTCACAGATCACCCGTGCGCAGTGCCGCGTGTGTGGAAGACGATGACGACGATGATGACGATACGTCTATAGTTTATTATTGCATATGGCAATAGGTTCAGGAGCTAAATGTTGAGGTCTGCTGGGCCTTGTGTTGTTGTGGGTTGCCGTGTTGCTAGTCGCTGTGTTGCTGTGTGTGGTTGTTGTGTATGGTTGTTGTTGTGTATGATTGTTGTTGTGTTGCAGGTCGCCGTGTGTTGTGTTGTTGTTGTGTGATGTTGTTGTGGTGTGTTGTTGTGTTGTGTGTTGTTGTGGTGTTTTGTTGTGTGTTGTGTTGTTGTTGTGTTGCGGGTCGCCGTGTGTTGTTGCGGGTCATCGTGTTGCTAGTCGCCGTGTGTTGTTGTGGTGTTGTTGTGTGTTATTGTGTGGTGTGTTGTTGTGGTGTGTTGTGTGTTGTTGTGTTGTTGTTGTGGTGTGTTGCTGTGTGTTGTGTTATTGTGTGTTGTTGTGTTGTTGTTGTGGTGTGTTGCTGTGTGTTGTTGTGTTGTTGTGTGTTGTTGTGTTGTGTGTTGTTGTGTTGTTGTGTTGTTGTTGTGGTGTGTTGCTGTGTGTTGTTGTGTTGTTGTTGTGGTGTGTTGTTGTGTTGTGTGTTGTGTTGTTGTGGTGTGTGCTGTGTGTTGTTTGTGTGTTGTTGTGGGTCGCCGTGTTGCTAGTCGCCGTGTGTTGTTGTGTGTTGTGTGGTGTTGTTGTGTTGTTGTTGTGGTGTGTTGCTGTGTGTTGTTGTGTTGTTGTTGTGTGTTGCTGTGTTGTTGTGTGTTGTTGTGTTGTGTGTTGTTGTGTTGTGGCTCGCCGCCGCCTGTCGTGAACTCCGTCTCGCGCTGTTGTCGAGGCGAGCGCCCGGAGTGGACGTCGCCACTGTACCTCCCCGTGCGTCCGACTCCTCTCGCCTGCCGGTGGAGGCTCTCGCCGCCGCCTACACCAACGCCTTGGCCTCCTCCTCCTCCCCGCTGCTGCCGCCGCCGCCGTCGTCGTCGTTGTTGTTGTTGTTGTTTTCTAAGCGAACGAGCACAGAGAGACGGCGCCCGCATCGACCGAACCGAGCCCCGACACAAACGTCGACTGGCAGCAATGAATGGACACCGAGACGCGGACAACACTCAAGGCCCCGGAACCTGCATAGACTACACCTGAAGGCCCCAAAACCTGCATGGACAACGGTCAAGGCCCCGGAACCTGCATAGACCACACTCAAGGCCCCGGAACCTGCATGGATAACACTCAAGGCCCCGGAACCTGCATGGACAACACTCAAGGCCCCGGAACCTGCATGGACAACACTCAAGGCCCCGGAATCTGCATGAACAACACTCAAGGCCCCGGAACCTGCATAGATTACACTGAAGGCCCCAAAACCTGCATGGACAACGGTCAAGGCCCCCGAACCTGCATAGACTACACTCAAGGCCCCGGAACTTGCATGGATAACACTCAATGCCCCGGTACTTGCATGGACAACACTCAAGGACCCAGAACCTGCATAGACCACACTCAAGGCCCCGGAACCTGCATGGACAACACTCAATGCCCCGGAAACTGCATAGACTAAACAGACACAAGGCCCCGGAACCAGCATAGACTACACTCAAGGCCCCGGAACCAGCATAGACTACACTCAAGGCCCCGGAACCTGCATTGACAACGCGAGCGGTTCCGGAACCAGCCATTGGCATCTCACGCCACCCCCTGGGCAACCGCACGCATTGCCATATATATAATAGGCGACGTTTCGGACCATGACCCTTCTTCGTAGAACGTGGGTTGTCTATGTTCTGGACGAATATGTTGAGTTTTTTTTTAACGTGCCTTTTGCCCCACTGCTAACGTAGAAACACAAAAAAGTCCAACGGGATGTTGAGAGGGTTGACATTTGTAATCCAGTATTCATCAATCCACTGCTGGATGAAGAACTCGCAAAGCTGCCTCCATTTCTCACGATCTCCCGATGTAACATTCCACCCAGCCTCTGCAAATCAACTTATGTAATCGCTCCATCTTCCTCGGGTGATGCTCTCTCAGACGCGTTTCATTGCTTGAGTGTTGATAACAATGCGATAATGCAAGATAGCCTCGCTGAGTCCCACGCCTCACGTCAGGGAGGGTGCTGCTACCCTGGGATGTGGCCAATTCCGTGAATGACTGTTGTTGGCTTCGTTTCGGAGGAAACCGGAAAACCAGAATAAAAAACCCACAAATACGAGCGTCTAACGTTGAAAGCGTCTGAAAGTGAAATTTTATAACTCACTTGCTGTACTGCCACCTGCTGGCCACCTCGCCGAACCGCAACCACGTGTAACGAAATGTGTGTGACGAGCTGACTCAATGATATAATTATCCATTTCACGGACACGGCCAAAGTACTCTATTCCACACGATGGGCTGGGAGCTTCAGAGCAGCATTTTAGCAAAACGTCGGACATCATGCCGACAAACACAGCACAACCGTAAAAAAACACATACACAGAAATAAGACCCACGGTGTCACCAATATTTATTTGTGCAAAAACTCCGTAATTTCACATGCAATTATGAGCATACATAATTACACAGTACAGGAGTACACGTGTGCTCATGGCATGTATCGTCACAACCACAATGAAGACGTATATAGAATACATTTAAAAAGTGTTGATCGTCACGAAAATCTTTCATAAATAACGAGCTTATTTTAGATATGTTACGGCCCTTAAACAGGGTCACTTCGTCACGTTAGCAAGTTCTACACAATACACATTTCTTCATTGATACATTGCGTTTTGTACGGTTAGTAAGATCATTTTAGTAATTCAACATCTGTGCCATATTGTATGCTAAGCTGTATACATGGCAGCGTTACTAATGTTAACGTCAGCTGGTCTGTGTGTGGAGAGGGACCTTGCACAATACCCCGAGACAAGCTAAATGTTTCAGATCAGGGGCAGCCAAAGCTCCTGTGATCCTCCGAGCCACAAACCAAACCCTCCACGTGGCTGAGCTCCCAAAGCACGCGGGACTTTTCACTTGATTTCTTTCGCTCGTGCTGATTGGCTGCGGGAGTTTAAATTTAGAAATCCGCAGAAGCTGCCGGGGGAGTTCAATTATCTGGCTACGCTGCCAGGGGCGAGCGGTCCCGGGCAGCAGCTGCTGCTTCAACAGATGCTTATTTTTTTGCTGTTTCACACAGCTTTACATCGAAACGTTGCATCTCAGCAGTCTCGGTTGAGCGAATTTCTTGGACTGGGAGTCGCGGTTTGGCCACAGCTCTTATGCACAAAGAGCACCGAAATCCATTGTAAGGGGCGTGATTGGTAAACAGGTAAAACCGAAGGGCCTTCAGGTTTACGTTACAATTCACGGTTTAACTGCTCACATCCAGTGTGGCGCTCTAATTAAAAAAAATAAGTGACAGGGTGCTAAAGAGTGACTTGATGGATGAGAGGTGATTATTGCTTCTCAATTGCACGAAGGGCTTAATTTAAGCCAGGCCTGGCTGAGTTGGCGAATATTTCCACACCCTGCACACCGCATCCAGTACACCTCTACCGATAGCTGTGGTAACTGATCACGTGCCACCCAATCCTTTCCAGCTCTGAGAAATTAAGCCCTCGATTTCCAGTAAACGATTATCATATATTATCATCTCCCTTCAGTCACTCTCTTGCACCCTATAACGTTTGCAACTGTATAGGCTCACGAGGACACCAAATACTTGTTTCGCTAAATCAGGGTATGAATCGATCACACGAAACCATTGTTTTAGAAACAAACCATAAGGTATGCTAATAATATGTTAACATTTACAATATGTTAACAATATGTAAAAAAATTCCTGAACGTTAATGCGGCAAATGTAAAGCAGTTTTAGAGTCAATGCTTCATTAAGCCTTGTCACAATAAACTACAAGTACAAATCATTATATTTAAACACACAACGAGCAATTATTCTCTCAACTAAGCAACGCATAACACTGACGAATGACATGTCAATTACTTAGTCATTAAATCAAATGCGTCATTTGTTGGTCATTAACTTTAATAAAATGTCCATTCTCTTCGTAATGAACCGATGTAAAAAAAAAATCTATACTTGGCATTAAGTAACTTTTAATTGCTCTGGCACTAAAACATCAAGTACTCTGATTGGTATTGCAATGCCAATACGGTCAGTTTAAGAGCCAACTGGAAAATAGCCCAGTTGCACAATTACAAGATTGTAAGACGGAAAAATCATGCATACGCATGGATTTTGTAAGACTTTCCAAAACGCATTTGTCCTCGGGAATGGGGTTTAAGATGAACCTCAGATGCATCATTCTCTCTCGTATTTTCACATTTATTTTGATAAATTAATCTTAGAGATGAACTAAATACAATCTGAAAGGCCATTATCAAACCTCTTCATGCTTCCACATCCAGTGGTCGTCGACCTCCCACCTCTGCTGCACGGTGATGACGACGGGAATTCAGCTGCAGAAAAACCTCAACACATGCGTCAAGAACACTGTGGCCTTAAAAGAAATACATTATATAACAGGTGACGTTTTTAGAAATGACCCTTTTTCATGCCATGTACTTGAAGAGGTTCTGTGTTAAGTGGACCCTAGCTTCCAGATGAGAGCTGCTTTTTATTTTTGCGTGTTTTGAGCTTCGATTTCCTCATCAGCCCATGGTGGTGCTGGGGTTGCCATCTCTGAGGTACAAAACACCGAAATTATCTCACAATACTGACAGAGGGGAAAGCTATATGTAATTGCATTGTCTTGGGTGGTGTGTTACAATACAACGTATTTTTCATGCCTGGGAAAACGTTCACATTTCCCAGCACAGCTGCCCAAAATTACCCCTTTTCCCAAAGGAACATCCGAGCTGAGGTAGCACGAGGCTGTCACGGTACTGGCGGTTTTCCATTGGTAATTAACCGTGCCGAGCGACGTCAGTGGCACGGTTCGGCTTCAGCAGTGGGACAAAAAAACCACCCAAGTGCCCCCCGAGCCACGCCGCCCGAAGCTGGCTCGGCACGGAAACCAGCGCGGCTCGGTTGCGCAAATGGAGAAAGAGTAATAGGAGGAGGACGAGTCCGGGAAGAGGCAGAGGACCGGCGGCGCCGCTAGGCCGTGCACGCGCATCCGCGCACCACGCTGATGGCGCGGCGCCTGACGGTGGCGCGCGCGCCGGAGCCGCAGCGCAGGGAGACGGCGCGCGCGACCTGCGCGTCCGGGAGGCACGCGCACGACGCCGCCAGCGCCGTGCCGCCCGCGCGGGGCACGTGGAACGAGCCGCAGTGGCCCAGGCAGAAGGCGTTGTCCACCAGCGCCGGCTCGCAGCCAGACACCCACACGCGCTGCACCAATAGAAACACGCGCAAGAATGTGAACACGCGCGCGAATGTGAACACGCGCAAGAATGTGAACACACGCGCGAATGTGAACACACACGCGAATAAAAACACGCGCGAATGTGAACACACACACGCAAATGTGAACACGCGCAAATGTGAACACACGCGAATGTGAACACACGCGAATGTGAACACACGCGAATGTGAACACACGCACACACACGAATGTGAACACACGCGAATGTGAACACACGCAAATGTGAACACACACGCGAATGTGAACACACACGCGAATGTGAACACACACGCGAATGTGAACACACACGAATGTGAACACACGCACACACACGAATGTGAACACACGCGAATGTGAACACACGCGAATGTGAACACACGCAAATGTGAACACACGCGCGAATGTGAACACACACGCGAATGTGAACACAAGCAAATGTGAACACACACGCGAATGTGAACACACACGCGAATGTGAACACACGCAGGAATGTGAACACACGCGCGAATGTGAACACACACGCGAATGTGAACACACGCACGAATGTGAACACACGCGCGAATGTGAACACACGCGCGAATGTGAACACACGCAAGAATGTGAACACACGCGAATGTGAACACACACACGCGAATGTGAACACTCGCGAATGTGAACACACGCAAGAATGTGAACACACACGCGAATGTGAACACTCGCAAATGTGAACACGCGCAAGAATGTGAACACACACGCGAATGTGAACACACGCACACGCAAATGTGAACACACGCGAATGTGAACACACACGCGAATGTGAACACACACACACACGCGAATGTGAACACGCGCAAGAATGTGAACACACACGCAAATGTGAACACACGCGAATGTGAACACGCGCAAGAATGTGAACACACGCAAATGTGAACACACGCGCGAATGTGAACACACACACAAATGTGAACACACGCGAATGTGAACACACACACAAATGTGAACACTCGCGAATGTGAACACACACAAATGTGAACACACGCGCGAATGTGAACACACACGCGAATGTGAACACACACACAAATGTGAACACGCGCAAGAATGTGAACAGACACGCAAATCTAAACACACACGAATATAAGCACACGCAAATGTATTTATACACAAATATAAACGCACACAAACACACGTAAGCATAAGCAATTGTTTCATGTGAAACTTGGCAAACGCGTTTCAACTCGTCTGACCTTCTCGTGGTCACTTTATTGTACTTAATGCAATCTCCAATGATTGATGAACTCGAGCAATCTCAGCTCTTCCATAGCAATCCCACGGTTGGCCAGGCAAACACGGTTGCCACGGGTAGCAGCACCCTCCGCGTCTCACGCGCACACGGTTGCCACGGTAACCCCTCACCTTGCAGTTGCCACGGTAACGTCCTCCTCACGCAATACGGTTGCCTCACGCGCACGGTCGCCATGGTAACCCCCCCATCGCCCCGCCCCCACCTCACGCACCTGCTGGAAAGGGATGGCGCGGCACTCGTCGGCCCGCAGGTCCTGCGCGTGCACGGGGAGGGTGAGGATCCCCCCACCCCTCGCGCCTCCCTCCTTCTCCTCTCCCTCGGCGCGCGCCACGAATTCCCGCCAAGAGCGCGCGGCTCCGTCACGTGACACCACCGCTGTCGCGTCGACGCGCGCCGCCACGTGGCCGCCACGCGGTGAGCCTTCGACGATCTCTTTGTTCTGCGTCGCGCGTTCTCTCTTCTCGTCGAGGGCGTTCTCTTTTTTCTTCTCGTTCAGGAGATTAGTTTCGCTTTTGAATATCGCCGTTTTACTTAACTTTTCGTGTTCTCTTTCTTTCCCTCCATCTTCTAGATTTGTATTTTCCAACTGGCCTGATGAGGATCCCTCCACCTCGTCTTTCTTCTCACTGTAGCCTATTTGTTGTACAATTGTCACCTTCGCTTCATTATCTCGAAATAATGTGTCTGTGTGTAGAGTATCTGTTGTTTTAGGCCCATCCTTTTTGGCCTCCACATGTCTTTCTTTCTCCAGCCCCTCATAATCCTCTTCCACTTCCTTGACGTTCTTCTGTTTGTTCTTGTACTCACCTCGCAGTAAGTTGTCTTCCGCCATCATCGCCACCACCGTCTTCTCGTCATCCTCCTGGCTCGGGGCTGACGTGGCAGATCCGTCATCATACTCATCGGTCCATGTTGGAGGCGGAGGCAGAGGAGGCATCGATGGTGATCTCACAGAGCCCGAGTGTCGTCCTTTGGCTAAGAGACCGGCCGCCTTTGAGTCAGGAAAGTCAGACGATGACACCTGGAATGGCCGCTCATAATCTGATGCCTCTAGCTGCCTGGTTGAACTGAAACCTTCATCTTCTGTCGCAGCAGAGGTCCCAAATAACGTGTGACCCGGTTGCCTGTGAAATCTTCCATCTTTGAAGAATAATTGCTTCGTTAAAGTAGCAAAATCCACACTGTGGGTTTTTTGTTTTTCAATCTTGTAGTCAGCAGGACGGATCTGGTGAGAGGTCGACTCGTGGTGAAACTCAGAGGCGTCTGCTGAGTTTGCGTTCCCTGCAGCAGCAGCAAGAAAAATTCGCTTGTACAGGTCAACTTTGTTGCTCGCAACTTGCGTTTTGTGTTGCCCCGAGTGCGCGTCGTGCAGAAGAGGCGCCGCAGGTTGTTGAATCTTGCGGCCGGGAATTGCGGGCGACCCCGGCAAATCCAGCGTCGTCTTCATCAAGGCAAATTCACCAGACAGAGGCGAAGACGCCAAGTCCTGACTTGAAAGAGCACCACCGATTTCAGGAGGAGGAGGAGGGACATGAAGGGAAGCAAGACGAGGACGAGGAAGGCGGTGCCCGTGCCAGGAGCTGAGCCCGGCGAGAGGAGACGCTCTGGCTGCCGTGTCGAGGCAGAGCACGGCCGTCAGGTAGAGGGACGACGTCGCGAACATCGCTCGCTCGATGGTCACGTGTCGGGCTTAGAGCCCCGGCAGAGTTTCAAAGCGCTGGAAGGGGCCTCAGAGCGACACGGGCCCTGGAGTCGGTGTTACTGCTGGGCGAGGAGAGGCCGCTCGGTTTAATACGCGACGGGGCTTAAGCCGCATTAGCTCGATACAAAGACACAGCTCCCCCGTATAGCCTTCACAGAGTGCCGGGAAAAGTGCCGTTAGCGAGTAGCACCTATAAACGGCACACGAGGGGGTGATGCGGCTGGCACGAGGTCCGGCCAGTGGATCTGTTTGCACAACATCGCACCAGCTCCTCGTTAAATGCTGAGTCGACACGTGGGAGTCTCAGAGCCGGTTCAGATCGTCACTTATGTTGGCTGTGAGCGGGAGTTAAATGCGGGTTGACGGGTTTGTAGCGCATTGCACACTGACCATCGATATAAACTCCACTTATTCAGTACTATAACGACAAAGGTCGCCCTAGAGGCAATTGCAGACTGTTGGGGAGAGAACTGTTAGCGAGCACCTGTGAAAAGACTGTCACGGCACACGAGGGGTGGATTGCCAGCACCACGCCCGGCCGCCTTTGTCTCCACAGTGGTGATGTATACACAGCGCACCAGGTACTAATTTGAGGCTGAGTCGACCTAGGGAATGCCCAGGACCGGGACGGGTTCAAATAATCGTCATTGGTGTTAGCCGTGTACGGGAATCGAACTCGGGTGGTCGGGTTCGTCGCGCAGCGCGCAATCCGCTACACTACCGCTCCCAATAAGCTCCAACAAAGACAAAGATCCCCCGTATAGCCTTAACAGACTGTTGGGGCAAGTGCTGTTAGCGAGCACCTATAAAGGCCAGCACGGCACACGAGGGGGTGGTTGGCCAACACCACGCCCGGCCGCCTTTGTCTTCCCAGTGGCAATGTTTACACAACGCACTGGGTACTCAATTAAGGTTGATTCGACCTAGGGGAGGCCCAGGACCGGTTCAGATAATTGTCACTGGTGTTGGCCGTGAGCGGGAATCGAACTCGGGACGCCGGGTTCGTAACGCAGCGCGCTAACCACAACACTACCGCTCCCAATTAGCTCCAACACACACACACACCTACATCCCACCTCTGCCACACACTCAACACACACACACCTACATCCCACCTCTGCCACACTCACACACACCTACATCTCACCTCTGCCACACACACACCTACATCCCACCTCTGCCACACACTCAACACACACACACCTACATCCCACCTCTGCCACACACACACACACCTACATCTCACCTCTGCCACACACACACCTACATCCCACCTCTGCCACACACTCAACACACACACACCTACATCCCACCTCTGCCACACACACACACACCTTAATCTCACCTCTGCCACACACACACCTACATCCCACCTCTGCCACACACTCAACACACACACACCTACATCCCACCTCTGCCACACACACACACACCTACATCTCACCTCTGCCACACACACACCTACATCCCACCTCTGCCACACACTCAACACACACACACCTACATGCCACCTCTGCCACACACACACACACCTACATCTCACCTCTGCCACACACACACACCTACAGTCCCACCTCTGCCACACACTCAACACACACACACACCAACAGTCCCACCTCTGCCACACACTCAACACACACACACACACCTACATCTCACCTCTGCCACACACTCAACACACACACACACAGTCCCACCTCTGCCACACACACACCTACATCCCACCTCTGCCAGACACACACACACACCTACAGTCCCACCTCTGCCACACACTCAACACACACACACACACCTACATCTCACCTCTGCCACACACTCAACACACACACACACCTACAGTCCCACCTCTGCCACACACCTACATCTCACCTCTGCCACACTCAACACACACACACCTACATCTCACCTCTGACACACACTCAACACACACACACCAACATCCCACCTCTGCCACACACACACACCTACATCCCACTTCTGCCACACACTCAACACACACTGCGCCCACTCTTCCTCTCCACTTACACAGTCCAGCCGTTAATTAGACCACAGCGGGGGTGTGAAAGCCAAGCAGAAGGCTTACCATAATGGCCAGATTTTAAGACGCACTTATTTCCGCTGTACGGTATATTAAAGCAAAAGTTGGGGGGGGGGCGTCTTATAATCCGGCCCGTGTGTGTGTGTGAGAGAGAGACACCAGATGTTTATCACTTTATCGATACCTGGCACAAGTGTGGGCTGCGTCTTAATTTCCGCAACGTCTCCTATATGTGATCAGGAGAACACGGTAAGACGTATCGGCTATCGGCATTCATTTAAATGGCAACACCGGCAATGCGTAAAGTTAAATATCTTCGAACGCATTTCACATGAACGTCAATTAGAATGAATGCTCATAAATCGACGGTGAACGATTTCCTTAACCCGGTTAATGTGCTGTGTGAATTTCAGACGACACATTTACCCTGTTTGCAACAATTACATAACCGATGTCTCCTTCACCTGATGGTCTCTCAACATCCGAACACCAAAAGCATGTCTTACACAAGCCATCAGCCCCACGGCCATCTGGGAGTGTAACATTTCAGCAGCATTGATTCAAAACAAGCAAGCTCTGGACCGGTTTCGACATTCACTGTCTCATCAGCAGGGTCAGGCTCGCTTCAATCAATGCTGGTGAAATGCCAGATGTTTAGAGACAAGGACCCTTCTCTCCACGACGTGGGCTCCTCAGTCTGAAGCAACATTATATTGCAATACATAACTCGACGCGACTCTTCGCATCGTTGTGGATAATATCCATATCGCAATGGATAAGCAATGTCTCCTGCACATATATGGAGAGATGGGCGTTTGTAGGAAACACTGCTTGTTATTTTCTTATTTATATTCTCCACAACGGCACTGATCACGTACCTCGCTGATCCCGTGCCCATGCTGGACATCTGTGAAAAGAGCTTTAGAGCTCATCGGATTCCTCCTGCAGTCTCGATAAAGATTCTGATTCTGTATTGAGTTATGCACACTGCAATGAGTATGGCGCTCCATTGTCAGCAGAGGGCATTGCAGACAAAACATCTAAATATCTACTGTTGTACTGCACAATGCCTCGACGTCTGCGCTCCCCGCCTTCATTCACCCGCGTTGACCAGCATGGTGAAGTATGGTCAACTAATCCCCGCGACCTATACGGTGTGGGGAGGCCCTCATCCAGCGGTGGATCGGCAAAAGGACTGCATGTCAGTGTTCATTTCTGGTATAAAAATAAAGTGACGGACGTATTCGGAAACTGCTTTAAAAATAATTGCAAAGATGTTCATGACTGCCCACCAAAATACCAAAGCGTGCCGAGATGATACTTGAATGGCCACACAGACTGAAAATAATTTAACGTAATCACTGTAACAAAAATAAAACTTCCGTCATGTGCCTAATTGAAATTCGATTTAAATAAAATGAAGCGCTGAGTTTGTGTGCTGGCCGCTAATCAGATTAATCAGGGAGGGTTAAAACTGTGAAGAGTCGACTTTTCGCATGGCCCTGCTTGCGTTTGGGATTAAAGCGGCAGCTGTGGTTGCCAGAGTACCTTTCTCCCGATGGCCCTAGCCCTAAACACAACAATTGGCAATAACGCTGAGTGGCAGCAGTGTTCCTCGAGAAGAGCGTGTTTATTCAGTGCTCACTCCGCGCCACGACACGGTTCGGAAATCAAGCAATCGCGATCATTGACGATAGCATGGATCGGAAATTGAAAAACGGGTTAATGGGTAACAAATGAACCGAACGTCAGAAGAACCCCTGTCGGAATGTCCTCCTACGATGGTCAGGGGATATCGCCTCGAGAAGGTGAATCTGGAGGAGCCTCCTGCACAGAGGGCCCCCGAGCGTTGAACAAGCAGCCGCCGCTCAGCACGAGACCCACTCCAGCCACAGATTCATTTTCTGGAGACTTATTCTCAACCTAACCAGGTCCAACTAATTTTACCGAAAAGTACCACAAACTACTGCAAAGCACTAGAAAGCCTCCCCCCCCAACTGAGAGCCCCCCACCTGCGCCCCCCCCCCTCGCTCACTCCTCCCGATCCCAAGTGCGACCTACGCGGCCCCCCATACCCTCCCCCCGATTGCTAGCCCCCTCTCGCGGGCAGGGCTGCCCGGTGGACGTCCTGCGGCATCTTCTTTCACTCTGTGACACGAGCGTCAGTTTCTGAAAAACAAATCACGCGCTCGTTACGTTGTCGAGTGATCACGTTAGCCGCTGCGATCGCGGAATCATGTGGAGATCATTCAACAATCCACATGCAGCCCTTTAAGGGCACCCCCAGTGGCAGCCGTCCCTGTGGGGACAACATTGCTCAGAATCGCCTGGCCTGCAAACCGGCATTTGTCTGGAAGTATGGGGTGATGATTACTTCTATGTGTCATCACAATTGATGAACCCATTCCAAATTCAACGTCATGTTAATGGTGTTTGGCCAGGCGAAAGTCAACTGAGATGAATTGTATATTTCGCTATTGAGATTTGGATAGCATTTGTCACTGAGCACATTACATTTGCTATGAAGCCAGTTAGTTTGTGGTTAGTAAAAATTGTTACAGTCCTTACCATGGGAATGTGGTATTTCCTCCACTGGCTGCTTGTTGCCAATAACGAGGACCTCTGTGAACATCAAAAACGAAAAGTGGCAAAACACTGAAAGCCTCACCCACTGCCCTGGGGACAGACGAGCGTAGACCCTAACGAGCTAATCTCTCACTAATTCTAGCCCTACCCCTACATCTTATTAAATAAATAAGCCATATTTTCTAACACTATTCGCAGTTACCTTCAAAATGATCCCGGAGTTAATGTTTAGCATGATTGTGAAGTGTTATCCGTGAGGTTACATCGTTATCGCAACTGCATTTTCTGGGAAATCATTACGGCGTGCAACCGACAGCTTGGGAATCGATGCTCAATCACAGGGTGAAGGTGCAGCCCTGCAACTGGTTTCTCACGCCACTGCTGGCGTATGAAGGGCCTCCACTCGAGGGAGCTTCAAACTGCGGCGTGGGGAAATGGAATCGAACGAGCGACCTCTGGGTTGCAAGTCCGCGGTGCTGACCGTCACACTGCGGCAGCCTCCTTGGGAATTAATAACTTTACACAACGTGTAAGCGTCAGGGCCGTTCTTAGTGGGGGGGGGGGGGGGTGCGGGGCCCGGGGCAAAGCCCACCGCGTGGGCCCCCCGACGGAAGTATTACATCTGGCAGCGTGACGTCGAAGCGTCTCCCCCCCCACCCCAAAGCGTGGGGCCCGGGGCAGTCGCCCCGATTCGCCATTCCCGTCGGAACACGGCTCTGCGTGATGATCACAGTGAGCGTGGCGGCCCGCAAGTGGTGGGTGCAGCTGCTGTGGTTGTCCCACCTGCCACGTCGCTCTGGACGACCGGGCGCTCTCTCATAGCCCGCAGGGTGTGGATCCTGAAGGTTTGCCTATCGGCGACAATGTGGCCAGCATTACAACACACCACTCGTGATGCCATATTATTGTAGTTGTTATGACCACTAATGCTACTGTTGTCTACCCATGAAAGTCTTACCGAGTCCCGTGAACTTGTTTCAGGAGGGTCCTGCTAATTTTTGCACCAGTCCAAGTTGGCGCCAACAATTGCAATTGGCCAAGATCTGTGGTCCTACGTTGGGCAGTTTGGCGAACTACACGAATGAGATGAAGATTCAGCCGTGAGACGGGGGGTCATTCTAAATCCCCCATGCAGATGGAATACGGATGGAAATTAACCCAGCCACTTGCTGTACTGCCACCATTACCCCGACAAGCCAGGAGATGCAATGTAATAAGCGTCTAAATGCAACGTCATCTCCAGACGCTTCACAGATCTGGGTGGTGACCTCGACGGCCCACGGGCAGGTGAGGGAGCTTCACACATTCCTGTGTACCACCAACCCTCACTGCCTCCACGGCGCTGCATTGCTAGGCGTGAGCAGAGAGTTCGTGATGGCCTTGCCGTCAGACCGAGCGCGTGAACTCCTCGGGCGGACCCAGGGGTGACACGGAAGCGCTTACCACTTTTTGAGGGTCCTTTTCCCTGAACAAGAACAACACAAGGACACCACCACACAGCACAGGCAGACACAGACGCGGAGTCTTACATTAGGGGCACGCCCACCTCGAGGGGGCATTGCCGAGAGGAGCGGGCCCAGCTCCCCACCGCGTGGATCGTCACAGCGACACAACCGAGGGAAAGTCTCGACCCAGTGAGGATCTCTCCCCATCTCTGGTGGGTCTGTTCGAGGATATTAACTTCAAACTCTCATAATAAACACAACATATCCCCATGAATTGTAAACTGATGAAGGATAAGCATCCCATAAACCAGGGAGGCGGCCGCTGTGTAATGGTCAGCAGCACGCTACCGGACTTGCCATACAGAAGTCGCTGGTCCGACTGCATCTCCCGGCGTGTAAGTTGAGACAAGGGTGCAAGTTTATTAACCCCCCACCCCACCTCCTGCCGCCTCTCGCCACCCAGCGGTGTAAGTTCGCTCAGCGCGGTTCGTCCATAATGGGCGAGTCGCGTGTGGTGGTGGGGGAACGTGTGGGTGCTCCCACCTCGTTTAAGTCGTCTGGCCAGCGTGCAAGTCCAGGCCACATACTCTCTAGAGGAGATCTGCAGAGCTCGTTCGAGTGGAGGCCCTCCCATCAGCCACGGTGTGAGCGAGCACCATTTACAAAACAAAAGCGCACCCCTCCTGCGCAGTTCAAGAAGAGTTCACAATCCGGCCTCGGACCCCCACGGCACGGCGCTCTGGCCCATTGAATGCACCGCTGGCAGGAGGCAGAGTTTGGCACTTACGTCGGTTGTAATTGAGCGCCGTGTCGCAGAGGCAGCTCAGTAGGGGCACCGTGGCGACCATCCCGATGCCGATCCCCACCGGCACCAACCAGAGCACGTGGGGGCACGAACGCGGGCAATTGCACGGCGCTGGCCCGGTTCCATTCGATGTGGCGTTGGTGAAAAAAAAAAAACAATCAAACTTTACTTTTATCGCAATATTCGTGCAAAAAAAGGAATACATAGTGCTTTCCAGGTATGTACAGTAAAAATGAAATTCTAGGCAAAATAAAATCAATTTGTGACACATTTCTGGGAAAGGCATAATCAAACTAACACAATTAAAGAATCCTAATTCAAAGCAAGTTTCAAAAGCAAGTCAGGTTTTAGATTTATTTTAAAAGTGCCCAACGATTCTGAAGCGCTCAGATCCCCTGGCAGGCCGCTTCGCCCGAGGCTTTGGTCCTGGCCGTCGTTGAGGTTCACGATGCGAGCGCCAACGGAACGGACAGAAATCGCATGACATTGCTTGCTGATGCTGCGTCGACGCTATGTCTTATGGAAGAAGGGCAAATGCTTGAATCGTCGCATGTTGTATATATATACATTTGGTTTAAGGGCCACGGTGTTATTGGCGAACGCGTTGAGGCTGTTTCGTTAACCGTGCGTGTGCACCGCTGGCAACGGAAGCAGCAGCAGCAGCAGCAGCACCCAATCACTTTTCGACTCCACGAGCGGCTTCTAACCCACGGACGTCGGCGCCGGGAATCTCCGGGGGTCGAGGATTTGCCCGCAGGAGTGCGCGGCGACAGATCCAGAGGACGAACACTGAGCGCACAGCCCAACTCGGACCCCCCCCCCGCTCTCCCACGCCCCCCACCCCGCTCCCCCCCGCTCCCTCACTCCCCCGCGCTCCCCCGTCCCCCCCGATCCCCCCCCCCGCTCACGGCTCGAGTCGCACGCTCCGACGGGCGGATCGCGGGCGTCGACTTTGGTTTTAAATCCACCGGAGGGAAGGTCGCTCCCTGGTCACACGCGGGTGGACGCTCCCCGCGGATCGCCCCCTCGCTGACGGAGTGACGTGCTGGCTGCGCTTTGCTATATTTTGTTTGTTTTAGGAATCGGCGTGCTGAGGTTGAACATCCACGTCACGGCTCAGTGAATAACGAGACGTGTCCAGGTGCCAAGTCCCCTTGTATCGCGTGTCTGTGCGAGAGGGCAACCCCATTACACGCGCGCGGTTTGTGAGCTGCTTTGCTCATTCGATGTCACAGCTTATACATTTGGAGTGTTTCACAATCTCCGCGTGGCTTAATCACCACAGGTTTACTCATTTGTGCTGTTGCATTGCTGTGTATGTGTTCGCGGTTGTTCTGTGTAGAGCGCTGAGGGATATTGTTTTCAGGTTGTGCCGCTTCTTGTTAGCCACGATGCTCGGCGTTTCGCTCCACGTGTTGTGGGAGCTGAGAACCTTCAGCAGGTGGAGTGTGTGAAACGTCGGACATCGTGCCGAACAACAACAACGCTATTTCCAACCCAGACAGACATCCGAGGGCTTAGCCATTCTCTCCCTGAAATGTAAACTCCCAGCGCTTCTCAAGTTCCCACGACTCCCGTCGACCGAATCGCTCGACACTGCATCACGACCCTTGCCGAAAGTGCTCGGTGACCGCGTGATATACTATCCACAAGCATCGAATTGTCTGTTCGGCAAGGTTATCATGATCGCATTGTGATCATCCCAAATACACAACAATAATGTATGGCAAGGATCGATGATGACCACGGTGGTTGGTGCTGCTGGTGACGATGGTGACGACGATTACCCGCGTCCACCCTCAGCTCCGTTTCGAAGGTCACGTGGCTGGAGTGGGCAGAGGAGAGGGTGCAGACGTAGACGCCGGTGTCCTCCTCCCTCGCCCCCACGATGCGCAGCGAGAAGTCTCTGCTGGCCTGCCCGGGCACGTCCATCCTCCGGGCGAACGCCGCATGGCAGCGCTCGGCACTCGGTGTCACCGCGGCTTGGCCGAAAGTGGCGATGGACACGAATTCGTCGTTCTGCAAGTCTGGATACCATCTCCAGGTGCCGTTCCGCTCGGAGGGATTGCCCGACGGGCACGGCAGATGAACGGTTTTGCCGGCGGTCGTCACGATGTTGGAACCGAGAGCTACCAAAATAAAAAAAAGCAAAACAAATATCCAAAATAACCAGAATATAACAATCTAGATAATAATAATGTCAACTCGTCACGATGCGCTGCCGCCGCACTGTTTTCACTCGCTCTCGTAGAGAGAGAGGGAACGACTCAGAGACAGAACGACTCAGAGGCAGAACGATTCAGAGACAGAACGATTCAGAGACAGAACGACTCAGAGACAGAACGACTCAGAGACAGAACGACTCAGAGAAAGAACGATTCAGAGACAGAACGATTCAGAGACAGAACGATTCAGAGACAGAACGACTCAGAGACAGAACGACTCAGAGACAGAACGACTCAGAGGCGCGAGAAGGAACTACAGACGAGCGGGAAGGCAGCAGCAGCAGCAGCCACGCGGTGGCGTGGAGCCGGCGCTACCACTAATTGCCCAAGTTCTGCATTCCTCTTTATATAATGTTGTTATCGACCAATTAACGAGTGTTTACTGGCGGGAAAAAAATCAGAGCACCTGGAGAAAGCCCACGTGTGCGGAGGGGGGGACACTCTATATCATACCGATGAAACAGGTGGAGTCCACATTTTCTGTACTGCCTTCTGGCAAGCCAGGGCACGGCACCTCGTTGACGCCCATGGTAAGCGCCGTGAAGGCATCGACAACAAAAATATCACAGCTCTTGGAGAAGCTCCCAGCACATAAAGCGAACGTCGGAGATGGTAGGAACACGACGCATCATAGCCGGAGGCCACATCGGCGAGTCGGCCAAGCCCACGTTTGCTCAGCTTGGGATTCACTCAAGCTAAACCAAAACGAAACTATTTTTTATTTTACCAGGTAAGGCCCACCGAGCTGCATAGCTCTTTTTAGAAGCGACCTGGCCACAAATGATATTTCAACGAAGTGGTTAATCAAGTGGACACTTATAGCGGTCAGATACTCTCAAACGGATGAGTCTCAATGTGGAAGGAAAACCCGAAGGACCCGGAGAAAAATCCATACGACCACGGGGAGAACATGCACACTCCAAATACAAAATCGACGTCAGGGTCGGGATGGAACTCACGACCTCCTGTATTCGAGGCGAGGTAATTAACATCTGGCCACCGTGGCGCCCCACGTACCTGGCGGGGGACCGATGGAAAGAAGAAGAAATACTACGAGAAGCTGAAAACCCACAGCCCCCATTGTGTGTGCGTGTCGCACAAACGGGCCGAGCGTGGAGCGACCGCCGCGTAGCTGTTGAAGCCCCCTGGCGAGTGAGGTCCCTCCGAGTTGGAATCGCCTCTTGGGGTTCACGACGATTTCGCCGCGTAGGAGAAAGGCAACGTCGTGGTTTGTTTACAGAGAAGTGGTCGCCGTTAGATCCCCCGAAATAAACTGCAGCTGCATCCTGCACAAACATAATCTACAATTTTTTAGGAATTAACATATTTAGTTTTTGATTTAAAAAAAGATGAAATATTTTCCCCGATTGTTGCTGTCGGCGTCATGGACGAAGAATCCATTTGGGAGCTCTGTTGGATTCTAGATTTGAAGCTTTCGTAACTGCAAGGATTCATCCTCTTAGTTCTTTCGGTAAAGCCACGTAGGTAAAAAATTGAATTAAAATTAATATAAATAAAATAAAAATCACGACGTTTCGGAGGCAACACAAGTCTCCGTCATCAGGTGGGACCGTCACAGCCAGATTTTCTGCATCAAGGGAGCTCTGTTGGAGCCGCGCAACCCCCTCGTGTTGGCAGAGCGGCGCCCCGAGGTCCCTGCACGCGATGCGCATTCACTGCTGCGCTGCGCCCCGCCGCTCTGCCCATGACAGTGACGTTCGCTTGACGACGACGAGCTCCGATATTTAAATTCTCGGAGCTGGCATAGCCCAATTAATTGTAAGACGGAATTTAATGCGATTGTTTGTGCGCAGTCGTTAGTGACTGGCTTGAGCCCATCATTATCTTCGTTTTAAGTAAAAAAAAATTAGTTTTTTGTTTTATAGTTTAGTTATGTATGCTCACTAAGATGGAGAACTCGCTGTAATCACAGCATTTGAACCCAGCACCTAAAACGGTGCTGCTCAGCGCTTTGATCCTTGAGCCCGGCATGGGAACTCTTCACGTTCTGAACTAACTTCACGAACGTAATCTCTGAACGTTCTGTCAGAGATGTTGGGATAATGGGTGGCGTTCCATGTGTTTTTTTTTTATTAAAAGCAAGAGATACGGAAAGATCTCCGACTTGCTAACGACACAGTCAGCTGCAACGCAATTCAACTGCAGGAAATGTTAGACGCACTGAATAAACAGATGTGTGTGTAACATTTGGTTCAGGATAATCAAGAGCAAATCCTACTTAAAAAAAAAAATCGAGTTTCAAGTTGATTTCGTTGAACCAGGCGATAATTCAAAAGCACTGCAGGGTGGGTCTCATTGGGGCACATGTCGGAGGCCAGGAGGGGGCGCTGGTTGCCGCTGCGTGCGGGAGCGAGATCCCAGGTGGAGCGAAGTGCGGTGAAACTTTCGAATGTGGACGATGGGAGCCGGGCGCGCGGCACGCATTGGCCCACTCTTGCGCCTCACGTCAGGGGATCTTTAACCACCACTGTGGATGAAGCAGGCGGCGCCCGTAGTATTATTAGCACTGGGGTTATTACACCGCGGTATTAATCAGGGCGGCCGCTCGAATCGAACCGCGAACCTCTGCCACTGCTGGGCCACCGCATCACTGCCCCCCAAATCAAGGCCATATCCAGAACAAATTCACTGAAGAAATTGAGACGTGTGTCAAGAGGGACACAACACACACGTACAAACACCCAGCAGAATGTCAGTTTTCCATTCAGCTAAACTCACGTTTAATGGTTAATGCGTCACGCGTCGAGGCAGAATGTGATCGCCTGCCGTGAGTAACGTCAGAGCGGACATTGCTTGGTTTGGGACCTGAACACAGAAGAAGTGTTCAGGTCCCAAATCAAGCAGTGTCCTACCAAGGCGATGGACTTTCTGTACGCCGATGTCAGACCAAAAAAAACGGTCCAATTAGCATGGTTGGCGACATACGGTGCGAAAGAAGTTCTACATACAGACATACATACGGGCGTGAAGATCCAATGTCTGCCCAAAGAGGGAAGTAGGCGCGTGTGGTGAATGCACGTTGGGGGTCATCTCGCCATGTGCACGGCGCTGATAAAGCGGAGGCTTCATTTGGAAAGGGCACGGGCATCTGAAGAGGACGTCCTCCCCACAGCACGTGGCACACTCCTGGCTCTGTGCAACCCCTTCCCGACTGGCACGTGGAGTTCGGCACGGTGTGCGTTGTTTTCCATTGGCGAAACGCGGAACTGAGCCAGAACCAAACCGTGATACGCTCGCCGCGTGAATTGGCATGACAGTCGCCCTTCCAAGCGCTTCCCAAGCTCAAGCCTGCTTAGCTTTCGAGATGTCATCAACTCGGCCACGTTTGGGGAATTTCTTCTTCTTCGTTAGTGGAGAGCGGCGGCTCCGGTTTTACTTTGAAGTGGTTGCTGAGACAGATAATTGCGGAAGGGCGAGTGGAGTGCATCGCTGTGATGATGCTGCCTCCTTCATCTAGATGTCTGTCTGAGTTTAAGGGCCTCGATGTGATCGATGGGTCTCAGTGTTAATCTATAGTTCTTTGTGTGATATCTATGGGAACTTTTTGCCAGTATAAAATTAAATAAAAACAAGCTTTACCCATTCCGGCAAAAAAACAGGTGTTAATATGTTTAAACACCAATTAGATAGTTTAACAGGTCGGCTGTCCGCTTGATGATGCGAGTTGTAATTACTGGCGAAACGTCGTACTGGAATTGTAAATGTTGTGGATGTTACTCTCCAACGGACCGGCGTGCTGTCCTAGTAACGAATTGCCATGTTCTGTTCACGTGACAACCCTTACTACTAAGTGGCTGTGTCGGGTGGTGGCGTCGGGTTTAACGACACATTTATATTCACGCGATCTAAGCGAATTTTTTTTTTATGGACTAAATGGACAGCTATTACAAGGCACCATGTCTGCATTAACCACACGGACGGTTGGCAAAACATGCAGACAAACATGCGCTGATAGCACACACATATATAACATAGATATGCATACTCTTTGACACCGATTGGCCCACAGCAGAGAGCAGCATCCTTCCCCATGGCCACGTCCTCACCACCGGTGGCTCGCTCGTGCGGGAGAGGGCGTCACGTGACGTCTGAGCGACCCGTGCGGCAGGGGGCAGCACGCGACCGCCGCCGTCGTCCCGAGCGGGGAGCCGCACGGCGCGGCAAGGGGCGGCTGTCGTCGAAGCAGCGAGCCGTAACAGCAGCAACATCAACGTCGCCATCAATCATCTTGATCGATCCACTGTTGGATGAAGGCCTCCCCAAGCCGCCCGCCTCCCCCTTTCACGATGCTGCGATACAACGTTCCACCCAGCGCCTGCACACGGATTTATTTCATCGCTCCATCTCCGCGATGGGTGTGCTCTCGGACGCGTTCCATTCCTTGGCTGCCACTTGCGCTACCATTCGTGACCATCGACCGTGACGCGTCCCTGCCCCGAGCGCCGCTCACTTCCCTGCACAGTTTGGACGATGCCATTTAACGCGGCTTGCGTTCTCTTTCTATCTCGCGATGTTCGCAATGGCGAGCACGTGGCCCTGCGCGCTCGTAAAGTGCTCGTGCCGCTTATTTCGTCGCTCGCGAAAGCGGTGCCCGTGGGCCACTCATTGGCTGAGCACGACGATTCTGGTTGAGGCGATTCGTACAGGCTGATTCAGGTACGTCACAGGCTCACTCAGGTGACGTCACAGGCTCACACAGGCACGTCACGGGCTCACTCAGGTGACGTCACGGGCTCACTCAGGTGACGTCACAGACTCACTCAGGTACGTCACAGGCTGATTCAAGTACGTCTCAGGCTCACTCAGGTTCGTCACGGGCTCACTCAGGTGACGTTACAGGCTCACTCAGCTACGTCACGGGCTCACTCAGGTACGTCACAGGCTGATTGAGGTACGTCACAAGCCCAACATGATGAATCTCAGCAGCAATTAGCAATGTTCTGCACTCTTATTATGATTCGTCTTCTTGTCGTTATCATGAAGCAGCTGATGGGAGTTCCATCATCATCATCATCAGCCTCGAGGGTGGCCCCTCTCCGAAATACAAAACACGGGGAGACATCGTGGCAACAAGAGGAAGACTATCTCACAGGGCAGAGAGGGGGCTGCGTGTAATGAATTGTCTCCAGTGGTGCATGGTGGGTGTTGTTGTTGTTATTGTTGTTATTACCACGCAACTGAGGAAGACCGAGACTCACAATGTCCCGGGGAAGATCGACAGGTGTCACGTGACAGCGGCTGCTGCCTCCTCGACAAAAGGATGATCCCGAGGAAACCGGGACAGATGGCAACCGCTTCCTACACGCAGCGTGGGTGTGGGGGGCTCAGCTGCCCCTGCTGAAGGTGTACCCCCCCCCTCCTCTCCTGCCCCCCCAATAAAGTGGCATTGAAGACGGAGGCGACTGCTGGGATGCTGCGCACGATAGACGGAGGGAGTTGTCCCTTCCCCACAACGTACATACAACATACATACAACATACATACAACATACATACAATATACATACAACGTACATACAATATACATACAACATACATACAATATACATACAACATACATAAAACATACATACAACATACATACAACATACATACAACATACATACAACGTACATACAATATACATACAACATACATACAACATACATACAATATACATACAACATACATACAACATACATACAATATACATACAATATACATACAATATACATACAACATACATACAACGTACATACAATATACATATAACATACATACAATATACATACAACACACATGTCACGTACATACAACATACATACAACGCACATACACGTGGAGTGGCGGTGGCGCCTCGCACACACACGGGGGGGGGGGGGGCTGAACGCACCGTGTTTTGTCCGTACGCCGCCCAACGTTTGTTTAACGTTTCGTTGAACACTGACGGTGTCGTCGTGGTGCCCCCCTAAGTGGTTTGTGTGTACCCCCCCCCCCAGTCCACTGAAACAAGGTGACGCTGCGACAGGGCTTGCCTGCGCCCGTAGTGCAGTCTGCTCCCAGCACGAGTCCGCAAGGAGGACACAAAGACCACGACGACGACGTCGTCCCGCGTGTAGCCCACGCAGCCTC